TATTGACCGCGTCTTTGCATATTTTTTCAAAATCAATTATGCTGCATTTGAGACAATAAGGTTCTAGAAGGTTAAATGTTCGGTCGCAATGCAATATATGGCGTGATGTATAGGAAACATTGATTATATGTAAGCTATTTCCAAATCAAGGACAAGCAAGTAACAAAAGACCCGGAAAGAAATGCACAAGTTTGTTTTGAAATGTGTATGGATATTGATACGTATAAGCAGTTGGAAGAATATAAATATGCTATTGTTCTTTACAACAAAAGAAACGAAATGATATTTGATACATTCAGCGGAAAACATTTGCGCACGGTTCACTATGCATTCAAAGTCAGCTTCCTAAAGAATACTTGATCAAAAGAATACTCGATCAAAAGAACACTTGATCAAAATCTAAAGAACGTGTATTTAAGGTCACTTAAAAAAAAACACACCTAAAGATACAACAAAGTTGTAAAACATTTCAATTAATAAAGGATTACCGATTACAACCACTGACCTCGTTTGCGCAAGTAATGTTTATCCTTCTAAACATTGGCACAAATACAACAGCAACCATAAAGCAAATAATAAAATAGGACAGAATCAGGACATAATACTGCGCTCCATAGGTGTAAATCTCAGAAGGGACACCTAGTAGAGTAATTGCTGATAGATAGGACACCAGTAGTGATATAGCAACTGGTAAAATACGCATCTTTCTGTCTGCAAGGAGGTATTCCTTGGTAGTCTCTTGTTTTCCACCAGGTCCYCAGCCATACCAGATACCAATAGCAGCAGAGATGAGTAACATGATAGAGAATACAACATAGTCGACAACGCTGAACTTTTCGTTAGCCATTCTGTACTCCTGGAAGAAGGGAAGACTTCAAACTAATGAGTGTATATGATAATCCGGCTGCCCAACGACACTCACTTTGCCGGCAGGCTCGAATACCTCTGACGTCAAGGGGTCAACGCATTCGATGATTTGCACTGTCTGTTGACATAAGTMAAGGGACATGGAAATATTAAATTACATGGACGAACCTCTCTGATGCGGGCACCTTGATTGTACGGACACTTCAGCGGACCCCTTCTAGATGTCATGGAAACCCATCAAGGACTTCTCCAGTGTCACAAATGATATTTTAAAGGACGAGTGCTTTTAAAGACTCGTGTTTATTTATACATTGATATTTCAGATATTTCTTAAGGATCTTCTTTCACTTTCAATTCTAAATATCTCTGACACCACAACATTACCGACACGGACCGACACGGCTACATAATATTGCACTGGGACTCCTGTGGTTGATAGTTCCAAAAGAGACTGGGTCTACAGGGTAATTAAAATGGCGGACGAAGATCAACAACAACCGAAAGGTAGTCTCGATTCTTCGTAATTTAAACAGTTCTGTTCCTGTTGTAAAGCGTTTTGAGGGAATTGATGTTATCACTGTTACTAATTCTTCTTTTTTGTACAGAGAAAAGTAAAAAGAACAAATTTAGACGCGATAAACGTAAGTGAKATTGTCAGCGTTCCACGTGTTGTTTTGATAAAGTTTCCCGAGTTGCTTGTTATATCTGCATTACGTTTGACAGACTAAATAAAGCTAAACCACCGAATAGAAAAACAGAGGAACGGTAGTCAGTTCATTGAAAATCCCTTAAGGATCGAAGGTCGAAGAGCAGTACCAGCTATGTGTTCTGAAGATTTTTTTCAAAAATAAAAGCTGATCTTTGCTATTTGAATAATTTTTATGCCATCCATTATTAATTGTATTGTATTTTTTTTAATATGTCTGAGCGTACATGTGATATTGTTGTCTTGATRCTCAGCTTGGGACCATGAAGGCATCGACCACTGGAAAATAGATGCGTTCAGTGCAGAACATAACCCACATGGCTTGGTTGAAGAGAGTTCKTTTGCTACTTTGTTTCCTAAATATAGAGAGAAATACTTAAAAGAAGTTTGGCCACTTGTTGAGAAAGAACTGAAAGAACATGTATGTGAAATACAGTTGTCATAAAACGGCATATTTAACACATTATAAATGAGAAAAAACCAAATAGTCAATTTGTGTCGACCCAAATACATTTGGTACGTTGTTAATTCATACGTCGAACCAAATGCAGTCAAAAGCATCAGAAAAAATTTGATAACATGCAATTTAGACCCATTATTATTCTGGAAGAAAGATATTTTTTTGCATTAAGTTAGGCACAACCATAGCTTGATGTTTGAATCAGTGTCGAGCTTTTGCAGTACAGCACGTTTGACGTTGCCGTGACACTGCCTTGCTACAGTCGTGCCGAAGTCAATTGATTCATACATCGAGCTGTTCATGTGCCAAATTCAAATTTTTTGGTTTGGCTCGGCGCTGGCTCGACATATGAACCGGGCCTTGGGCTGTCAACCCCAGGCAAGAATATATCTTGAGATCGATAAATCCACCATTTCCTTTTATTTTTTGACTGCAAAAAAAAAAGGTTGTGCAACATCGATATTTCAGTTTGTCAGAGGCTCGGTATTTCAGGTTCAAATCAGGAGCCACTTTTTGTAATGGTAGTTAAAGCATGAGGTTTATGTCATTTTCTTGGAAAACAGGGAGATTTTAATGTTGAAATCTTGACTAGATACGACCCAAAATGATGAGACTAGCATGAGACTAGCAGATAATCCAGAAGAGTTGACAGCCCTGAACCTTTTTTTTTAATTTCATAACTTTGATTTATATTTGATTGTTCTGTAGAATCTCAAATGCCAACTGGATTTAGTAGAGGGCAGCATGACCGTCTCAACAACAAGGAAAACATTTGATCCTTATGTTATAATAAAAGCCAGAGATATGATAAAATTACTGGCGAGAAGTGTACCTTTTGAGCAGGTAGGAAAACTATTACAAAAATATCAAAGAGATGGATCTTTCCATTGCCATATTTTTCATTCTTTCTGCGTAGAGGATATTACATGGACATGCAGAGATACAGATTTATTTTTGAGTGTTTGATTGAAATCTCATGAGTTAGCATAGCAAGAAGTAAGATATTATCGAGCAATAGAAGATAGAAAACATATCTCCAAGTACCAATGTAATTTTCTACTTATGATATAAACTCAAATTTGGAACTATAAGATAAGAAATTGCAACAATTTGTGCACAGTATTGGTATTATTACATGTTATTTTCACATGTGAAGGTACAGTATTACATATTCACATACAAGATTACCTGGTATTTCATTGATATATAAGTATCTTCAATATTCTCTACATTTAGGCACAGAGAGTGCTCCAAGATGAAATGGCRTGTGATATCATAAAGATTGGCTCACTTGTCAGAAATAAAGAAAGATTTGTTAAAAGAAGGCAAAGGTTATTAGGACCAAATGGAGCAACACTAAAGGTAAAATGATGAAAACTAGTGGTAAACTAGTGTGAGAAACAGTTGTGTAAAAAGATAAATTTAACACCGTAAAAAAGTATGTGAAATAACTTACTGACGTTTCGGACGTTAATCCTTCYTCGGAGTAAAAGAAGGATTAATGTCCGAAACATCAGTAAGTTATTTCACATACTTTTTTACGGTGTTAAATTTATCTTTTTACACAACACTAAAAAAACTACTACTACATTTSTCTCACAGAATCCATATATTATTCATCCATATATTATAACATCCATGTATTYTTAGTTATTGTATGATTATAAAATGCTATTTTAACCTTTCCATTTGTGATACTATTATTGCAGGCCTTAGAACTTCTTACACAATGTTATATTATGGTACAAGGCAATACGGTATCTGCGCTGGGTCCATATAAAGGTCTTAAACAGGTACAGCAAACTCTGTAGAGCGGATTTCGTATGAGTGGGAAACGGACGGTACTGTACTGTGACCGTAATCGTACTGTAACCAAATTCTAGTGCCCCATTGGTTCACCTAAATTGTGAAGGCCAGGTCCGGTAGCTGTGTGGTAACGGTGTCCCACTCATACGAAATCCGCTCTATGTCAGCACTGAAAGTCAACGTGTAAAAACCTTATTACTAAATGGTGCAAAATAGTACTAGTTGAACAAAACATGGATGATTAGCAAGAAATAGTGGAAATCAATTTTAATAATCGCATTTTATATTCGCATATATGTAAATTTCCTTCACTCTCCTGATGATGTCGGCGACCGACGAAAGCTTGAGAAAAGTAAATTCATCCCAGCAGTAGCATATGGCCTAATCTCAACTTTATCTTGAACAACACGATGCTACTGAAGGACAACTTCACTACTTCGAATTTTAATAATGTTTCACACTTTTACTTAATATGCACTTTATAGTAATTATAGTCGATAATTATAATGTATTGTATAACAGGTTCGTAAAGTTGTAGAGGATACGATGAAAAATGTCCATCCAATCTATAATATTAAGGTAAAAAATCACTCTTGAATTGCATTCTGTGTAAGGGGATGAAAGATACACAAATGTAGGCAAAGCCATAGTTTTTTCATTTGAATATTTCAGACATTGATGGTAAAGCGAGAACTAGCCAAAGATCCAAATTTAAAAAATGAATCTTGGGACCGATTTCTTCCCAAATTCAACTCGAAATCAGTGAAGAAGAAGAAAAAAGCCATCAAAAAGAAAACCTACACACCCTTCCCCCCACAGCAGCAAGAAAGCAAGGTAGTGAATCTAGATATATTGTACTTTTGAGAAATATTATTTCGCCAAATACTTTTAACTTTATGAATATGAAGACCGCATGGCACTATGATAAACACGATATAGAAATGAAAGAAAGTTATAGTGCTTTTAACTTTAGTTCGCGCGGCAGCGCATTGAAGTTTGAAAACTGAGCGGGAAAATTGCATGCGCACTTTTGCACATMATTATTTCAGGTTTTTCAGAATTTGCGCTCGGTCTATATATTCGTCTTTTGTTATTTGCTTCACTTCATAACTTTTAAGTCATAAATTCTATTTTTGAGTGGATTTTTAATGTGATATTRTTGTGTTGTTTGTTTTTGTAGATTGACAAACAGTTGGCGAGTGGTGAATTCTTTCTCAAAGATCACGAGCGAAAACTCAAGAAGCAAGAAGAGAGAAAGGTGATCATTTATTATTATTTTTTTTAAGCTAACCAGTAATTTTTTTTCATACAATTCTCCCTTGTTTACAGGCAAAGCAAGCRGAAGCCACATCAAAGCGAATAGCAGCTCGCGAGCAAGCATTTGTTCCTCCAGTCGAAGATACACCGAAAAAAAGCAAGCCAAAGACAAGTATGTTTTATACTTATCTGATATTTTAGTTTTAAAGATTCCATGGTAGTTAKAGTATATGTCGTTATACCCCTCAATATTACTAGTCTCAATGGCTTACAATGAAACTCTTTTTTTCCAGGCGAAAGTGATAAGATCGATCTTGATGCCTTCAAAAAGAAAGTAAAATCTGCTCAGGTATGTTTTATTAACCTCCTACTTTCCTTTTCTTCTCCCCGTTATCCCATTTTATTTCATTTATTTGTTGTTTTCCTGTTTTCCCGTCTTTCCAGCAAATGAATAGTCTCCTCGCAGCCGTGTTTAGTTTCGGTCACGCGTCACGCAACCTCTCCACACACGAGAGGTTGCGTGACGCGTGACCGAAACTAAACACGGCTGCGAGGAGACTTGCAAATGAAGGACTGGATAAAACTCGATCAGGTATATTGTTCTTTTCTTCAGAAACGAAAGAGAATACACACAATGACAGACAAGCAGCCGAAGAAACGAAAAGAGAAAAGATAGCAAACTGTTATGCAGCACAACAAATCATCTCATTTATTGAATTATATTTCGATGTAGTTTTGCATTGAATAAATCCTTAATTATTGGTAWTTCACCGAAAAATTCTCGTTCAATTAAATGTGTCCGCGCGCGAACTTCAAAAGCGCGCGATTGGAATGCGCGCTCTTAATCGCGCGTGCCACGCATCTCACGCTAGCAAAATTCGTTGACKATTTCATTTTCTCGACGATTTTCCTTGAACGYCTGCGTTTTCTGTCAACATACAATTGGTAAGTTTGTTTTTGCTTTAATACATGTAATGCAAMCGCATARATGCAAAATGTATTTGAAATAGCAATCAATGCCAACGTTAATTAGACTGTGAGACTGAACATTAGGTGTCACCAGACTTCTTCCGTTCAATTTCATTAATTTTTAATTTTTTTTGTAACAGGAAAACTCGAGTATGGCCCGTGTCAATATATCTCCAAGCACCTCAAACAATAGCTACAAAAATGTCCTCTGCAAGGAATTCTGCGATGGAACCGTAGCTGTTTGCTACTGCCCACAATGCTCAGCAATCTTCTGTGACGATTGCTATAACAAGGAGCACAAATCAGAGCGAAAGATGAACCARCAGAAGGTGTTTGATGTGAGGCCCATTTGTGAAGAGCACCGGCATACACTGGAGTTCTTTGATATTAATTTGTATCGGCCCCTCTGTATAATGTGCCTGGCGAAGTTCCAAATAGAAAAGGTACAAGCAAATGATAATAGAGGATGATTATGATGATAATAGTGGATAATTATGATTATGATTATGATTATGATAACAAACGCTACATATTAGCTTTTGAGTGCATTCAAGATGGTTGTGTTGATGATAAGTTGATGTTATTGACAGGGCTGATTGGAATGACTTTTATATGACACGTACAGCAACTCAACCTCGTTATAACGGACACCTTTTGGGATTAAATTAAGTGTRCGCAATACCGAGTGTCCACTCTWAAGCAAGCTATTTTCAGTACTCTCTTTGGAGTAGTGGATTATTGGAGCGTCCYTAATATCGGGGCGTCTCCATGGCCATGTTGTTTTGTTGATAGTTGCCGTTCTGCAATTTTSCAGGAACTTCATCTCCATGCGATCAAAAACATCAGTAATGTCTCGTCCAAGCTGTACTCGWTACTTGACGAGAAAATCCGTGAAGCACAAAACATTGTCAAAAATGTYGAAAACGGCGTGAAACAGTTGCGTGAAACGACAAAAACCACTATCAAAACTGCRAAAGACGAAATTCATAACCTCGTGGAACATTTTCGAAGTCTACTAGAGGAGAGAGAGAAGGAAGTTATGGAAGAACTGGATAAAGTGGAYKGKGAMCATTTGAAGAAGGATGAGACTACYGGTCTTTTGGCTTTGAAACGACGTCTAGAGGACACTATCAGCCAGGGTAATGATTTCAACATGGCCACCATGTATTGTGATTGATCGACGGCTGACTAAATAATAGATTTTTGTTTAATCAAGGATTGCATAGTTTAATGGAGTAATTGATTGATGGATGGATCAATTGATTGATTGCTTGATTGATTGTTTGGTCGACTGACTGACTGACTAACTAATTGGTAGATGGGTGAATGGATCTATTGATTAATTGATGAACTTACTGACTGACCAACTAATTGGTAGATGGGTAAATAGATCTATTAATTAATTGATCGATTGATTGACACTGATTGATGAACTTATTTTTCCATTCCTTTCTCAGCTTCTCATTTAATTCAACTCCAACAACATTCAACGATAGGTTATGAATTCCCACATTGTTTTAACAAGCTCAACGACTTGTGTTCAATGGCTTTGAAGGAGATACAATCGAACGACCAACTCGGCATCACCGTCAACGTATCGACGTCCACCTTACGTGGGTTAACGACAATGTGTAAAGTTGTTCCTTGTGAAAAGACACTAGATGTGTGTGATTCAGGTAACAAGACACAAGATGTGTGTTATTCACGTAATAAGAACAAACTCACACTTGACAGACTCATAAGACAATTTTTCGCTCAGACATTTTTCGCTTGGACTGAAACGGCGAGCTTTGCGGATAAATGTTCTTTTCTAGTAATAATAAATGAAGGAAACGCATCGCGATCGAAAACTCATATCTTGAACGTCAGATTTAACTTGTGATTAAAGTGTCCATGCGTCATTTCACAGTCGTACTTGACGTTTGATTTAGCTAATAATGTTGATGAATGTTTTAGATTCTAAAGATGTTATAACATCAAATGGGAACGTCAAAGTTAAAGTGGWAGATGATTTGACCAATCACACACCAATTACCATGGAAACTAATCATCAAACTGGTCTCCTTGGAAACGATGACGAAAGTGATGACGTAAACGTCGAAAACTGCGATAATACAGTGACACCTATTGGTGATGGAGATTTCTATGACAACGACGATGCACAGAATTACGTCATGGAAACTATGACAACAGATTCTAATGCTGTGATTCACCTTGACAACGAGATGACAAGTGAAAGTCGTATTGCTCTAGATGCTAATACTTCAACACCGCTGACCAGTATGAGTGCTGATTCAGTAAGACAAGGACGAAAAATTAAGCTTGAGGAAACGGTTGAGKGTGATTGTGGAACGAAAACTAAAAGAGGTGAATCGTCAATTATAGGCTTAATTCCAACCTGTATTTCTTGTTTCACCTTTCTTTCCTTCAATTGTTCTTTTCTCTTTTACTCATTGCGGCATATCATCTTGTTGCATTCCTTCCTTACCAAATTCCTTCTTTGTTACATTCCAATTCCGTCCAATTCCGAGCATTGCTTCTTCTCTAAACGTCACTAAGTTACATTTGGKCTATCGACCCGCATTGTTTGCAGCATTCATCCATACCTTTCTCATATATTAATTATTTTAAGGGCGTCCTCATAAACGGAAGGTTAAATCGTTACCCGTGAGAGATTACGAGATGGACACGGACTGGAGCCCAGTCTCCAAAAGAGTTCTTCGGTCAAGTACACACGAGAAGATGAAGAAAGCTAGGACGAGACGTAGTGGAGCGCTGATCAAGGAAATGGATGTAAGAATAGATTAAAAAATTATTGTCATTYCGTCATCACACATCATCATGATAAACATATTGATGACGTCATGTGACGAAATGGATTATGGGATCGATGAAAGTCAAGCGGAAGTCATTTTGTTCAAGCTGGCATTGAATCCTCGGCTTACATAGGATGCGCGAGTATATCTGTGCAAGTGATTAATAGGAACCACTGGAACCAGGGTGGGTCTTTGAATAGTACTCGAACTTTCCCCTTCGTACGTAATTTATAAGACATCTCAGTACTTTTTTTAATACCATGATGCACTTCGCCGAAACAAGCATGACGTCATGAGACTGGAGACCGTCACTTTGTTTTCTTGTTTTTATTGATATCTGAATTGTTGTATGTGTCTCTCAGAAATGCGACAGCATACTAACGATGCTATGGGCTGACGAGAATAGCTGGCCATTCGTACGTCTTGTGGACAGGAAAAAGGTGAACGATAATGTTTCTTTTATTATTTTTGTAACTCGTTGAGCTCTCGAGCTCTATACAGTATTTTGTCATTTTCATCCACTCACCAGACTATCTATAAAACGTTTTAGATTTTTTTAGATAGAATAAAAGTATATAACGGTTTTGTTTTCACAGTGTCCTGAATATTACAAGAAGATACGCAATCCAATGTGTCTAGAGTTGGTGAAAGAGAAACTACACTCGTACAAGTATCGATCGGTATTGGATTTTGTCAGGGATATCAACAGTATTATTGATAATTGTCATATCTTTAACGAGGTAATGACGTGGTTYTAATTTTATAAACAATTGTAACACAAAAAGCTGATTGTGATGATGTGTTTCTTGATAGCCTGGTTCTGAAGTCCAGGAAGCTGGCAAAAGACTTTCAAGCCGTTTCCAGCAATTACTGGCCGAAACTTTTCCAAACTTTCAGAACGTATTCCAGGACAAAGAGTTGATGGATTCAAGTCTTTGAAACAGTATCACAGCCCATGAAACAGTATCATAGTCCATGAATCAAGACTTTGTGCTCAATTCTTTATTCTAAGACACTTGCAATGCCGGTGGTCTGCGGTTTGAATTTTTATTCGGGACTCAAACCGCTGACCACATATTCTTGCTGTATCRAGTACAACCATTTCATTTGCTCTTCCCATTTCTTCACTTCCATCCTTTCATTTCCTTTGTATTGCTTCTTAATTCAGTAAATTCTGACAAGGGTAAAGATTGTTTACAACATTTTTTATTAAATATAGTCTTTCCTGGAACTTGAAAAAATAGCAAACATAAAACTTAACATAACAAATATAAACGTCTTGTTTACTACAWTCTGTCAGATTCCGGTTTATCGAGTCAACAAAAKCAACTCGTAAAAGAACTCTTATACAGGTAACTCGTACAACAATAACACAGGGWTCCCAATCAGAACTCGTCGTGTCGCTTGAAAGCTTTGCCGTATTCGGTAGCAGCACTTCCTACAAATATGCTTTGGTTCTCAAGTATCTCATCTTTGGACAGAGAGCCATCCTGAAAAAAATCGACATTTTAATAAACGTGCAGTCTATGTTGGTGCAACCTTGTGCARAGGCTCTGTTCGATCTGTCATTCAAGATTGCGACGTAAGGAATACAAACGCTTGTATTGCTGCCGATGCTCATATCTTGGAGAAGAGCGAACATTCAAGGCAAAACCTTAACCTCAGTTGCAGCGTTCTTAAGTAACGCGCCCTTCGGCGAACYTCTGCAACGGAGGTTACTCAAAGCATGATTCTTACTTTGTTATTGTCGGCATGGTAGATCAAATGATCGGCCTCTGCACCAGCATCGTCGTAGCTTGGAAATAAGTAATCCTTTAGTTCTTTCTAAACAAACGGAAAAAAGAAATAGAAAATTTACTGTATATTGAAACAGACAAATATAACGCAGAGGGGGAGGGAGCGGAACATATTGTTCAAGTTTATTATTTGACAGGATGTCAAAGTAAGCCGTCCTTTGAAATAAATGAAATTGAAGTTTTGTAGTGAAACAAGATCTGAAGTTTGAAAAACTAACCTAGTYATTTATGCATSCGGAATACACAGGGTGACCAGCTCAAATCAAGAGAAAAAAAAGATCTTTGGTCAGCGGAGAACAAAAACTGGCATGCGCTAAGCAATGATAAAAGTCTTTTTCAAATCTTGTATTCAATCCAGAACTTTCTTTTGTTTTACCAAATCAACATACCACATTGCTGSCCTACCGTCACATTCACTTAAATTAGTGATGTAACCGGAAGTGATGTAATYGTTGTGCACTAGCGTCTACCAATCTTTGCTAACTATGAGTGCAATAGTAGGTATTTAGCGGGGGAGGGGTGGAAAAAAATCGCCGCGTGTGCCAACCATATACAGGAAMCCCAAACAAATCAATATGCAATTAATCATGGGGCGATTGTGGCGTTTATGTGACCTATGGGGGTAGGGGTGGGTAAMATACCATGTTAAGTCTTCCGTCTTTATCTTGATCGTAGGTTTGGTGAAAGCTTTCTCGATCAAGTTTGATCGATTCCTCTTTTTCTGCATTGGTTTGGAGCTTCCTTCTCACTAACGAATCAGCTGTGGACATATAGAACTCGGTTATGATATGAGGGGGTTAACCGTGAGCCGTGAAATGGCTGAAAAATTAGCCGTGAGACGTGAAAATAAGAAAAAAATTAGCCGTGAGGCGTGAAAAAGCCAAATTTTTAGTCGTGAGTCGTGATGCAGGCCCCTCCCCTCCCCCCATTGAGACCCTCAATCAGTCATCAAGCGTTTGTAACCCTGTGTAAGTACGAAGAGGTATATACCTATAAATTCACTTGGTGATACATAGCCATCTTTATTGGTATCAATATCAAGRAGATTCTCAGCAACAACCAAGTCTTTCATGTGATCAAACTGATGTGGGTGAAGGAACGCGGTAAATTCTTCTTTKGAAATCTTGTCATCTTTATTTACGTCTGCTAAATCCCATCGTTTACGATCGCGACGAAATTTTGGCTCTTCCTCGTCTAGARAAATATRAAAAGTATTTTACTACAAAACATAAAATGATAGTTTTCCTTCAGCGATGGTGATTTTATAGGTGTGTAACAAACTTTATTAGATGATTATGATTGTAATTGTGACTGCAACTGTTTCTGCGACTATGATAACAATTGTGACTATGATTATGACTACGACTGTGTTTATGATTACGATTTTACCTGATACTTGATCTCCGAATGAATCTTGTTTCCATAGCTCCCAAGCAATTGGTGAATCAGGATTGGCCACGGCTTTTCTGTCGGGATTATCTCRCTTGGTTCTCAAAAAATGAGTTTCAAGCTTCTTGAAGTGCTTCCAAAGGCGATCGCGGTCGTCGTACATCCAACGCTTGCCGGCGAATCGAATCCACTCCTTCAACTCTTCCTTTTCCAGCTTACCATCTTTGTTTTTGTCAATGCGGCCAACAAGTTTTCTGTTAGGGTTAGAAACATAAGAAAATCATTGCTGATCAGTGAGTCAGTCAGCCAGCCAGTCGGTCGGTCGGTCGGTCGGTCGGTCGGTCGGTCGAGATTCGTAACAACATCGATTTGCGCGATGTGGATCCGACCAAGAGTCATGCACACAGTCTTTACGCGGGTCACCGTTCAACAATGTGCGAAGTTCTAATGTGGTTTCCCTACGTATATAACAGCATATAAACTAAATGATAACACGTACAATGGCCATGGAAGGCAAAAGCATCCAATGAATGCGCCATGTTATACATCAAAATTTAGTGGAGAATCAAACCTCACTTGCCGCGTCTATAATCAAGTATGGTTTTTCAAGTTTTCTATAAACTCCTACTRACTCTAGTCTTTTCTTCGATTCCTCAGGTGTTAGGTGATCAAAGTCTTTCTTCTCTGAGCCAAGGAARGCATCGTGATCATACTCAGGGTTGTGTTCGCCGGTAGCCGAAAAATGTTCCTCTTTTGATAGTTTCCCATCATGAACTCGAGAGTTGTCGTCCTTCGGCTTAGCTTGAGCAACAGTTAAACATGCTGCGATCAATAATATGCATAAAAGAATTCGCTGCATGGCGAAACTAGTGAGAACTACAAGTAACAAGCAAGACTRACGGCTAACTTCAGGTCTAACAACTAAAATGCCAGTTGCTAAAGCACTGTAATGGCTTAATATTTCTTGTTGTTCTACGTGCTGGACGCTGATTGGACAATCGTGTCACACAATACGTACTTTCCCAGGGAAAAGCCACGTCAGCGATGGAAGAGACAAAGGTCTTTTGAAAACCAGAGACGCATTGCGTTACACACTGCAGACATCAATAYTGACTGTATTTAAACTCACGCTCGATCATTCTGGACGAATCTAGAAGATTCTATGGAATAAATCAAGAAAGACTTTTGTATTAATACATCTTTATAAAAAAAAATGTCTCCTGACTCATGTGTTGATATTAYACCTTGAGTTAAGCAAGAACTTCCCTTTGAAAGGCTATAGATTCTGAATATATAAGAAACAAAATGTTTTTTTTTTCTTTTTGTGAACCCTGCGGATATCTTGTGATACGAAGGAGCTCTCTGCGCGCCATATTCAAAATAGAAATCTTCGAGCATTCATGCCAGCGGTATTCTCCATTAGATAAGAAAATTCAAGATGGCGACAAGTTTTAAGAAGAAGTCAGGACGAGGAAGAGCTGTTTTAATACCTGGAACTAAACCTTCTTTACATAATAACCAGCTTCTCGTATCTACTGGGATACCTTCTATGGATGCTGTGTTAGGTATGGTTGGAAATATTAGTAGAATACTGCAGAAAATGTCATTTGGTTTTGTCGGTAAATCTACACGTGCGAATTCAGCTAATTTGTCGTTATTTTATAAATATGACAGTTGTAGTCGACGTATTTGATTCATTTATATTTGTTCATTAGGTGGAGGGGTTGCAGTTGGAACTGTTGTTTTAATAGGTAAGACTATCTTGACTAAATATTTTAACTAGTTGCATTTTAGTAGYGAGTTTGTTAGCTAATACTCACGTGGACGAATGATCGGATATAATATTGCTATGGATTCATATTCATTGCTGTTTTCTACTGTGGTTTCAGAGGAAGACAACTATGGTTCATATGCCAGGCAGGTCTTGAAGTATTTCCTGGCAGAAGGTGTGGTGTCTGGTCATGGACTTTTCCTGGCATCAGCTGATAGTGACCCTCAAAATATTCTTAAGGTAAAATTYTTATCTCCTGTGCCTGCACTAGAATTTGAATTCCATCGTTGTAGCCTAAAATCTTAATTTACAAAAACATTCTCTCTTTTTTTGAGACTTCCTGTCATAAAGTGTTAAATTACAGTTTATTTTAATGTTGTTTTTCCTTTCTRTGCATATTTTTGTGGTTCTAGGATTTACCTCATCCCATAGATGATGAGCCAGGTCAGGATACAGCACCAGATAAGACAAGCAAAGATGATCAGATGAAAATTGCCTGGAGATACCAGCATAAGAATAAAATACAGGTCAAAAACTAAAAAACTACTGCTGTATTTTATCATGTCCAGATAAAACAATGATTATTGGTTGAAACTTAGCGTATGGGTGATTATCGGTTAAGACTAAGTATGATATGGGTCATTATTGATTAAGTCTGAGTATGATATGGGTGATTATTGGTTGAGGCTAAGTATGATATGGGTAATTATTGATCGAGACTAAGTATGATATAGGTGATTATTGATTAAGTCTGAGTATGATGTGGGTGATTATTGGTTGAGGCTAAGTATGATATGGGTAAGTATTGATCGAGACTAAGTATGATATGGGTGATTATTGGTTGCAACCAAGTGTGATATGGATAATTATTGGTTGAGGTAATATTATAATATGAACAATTACTGGTTCTGGTAATACTTATTATTTATTATGAATGACTGTTTATTTTGGTATGCTTATATAGACCAATCCTAGTTCTCAAAACAGACTTGGTCATTACTATGATCTTAGTAGAGTGATGGATGAAAAGAGACTAGAAAAAATACAAGTAAAGACATTTGATGTGTCACAGCAAGTTATGGATAATACASATTCAAGGTTTGAACTAGTCACAAAACTCAGTTTAGTACCAAAGGACCTTGTAGCTCAGCTGGTAGATCATTGTTAGTACAAATCCATGGGTCATGGGTTTGAACCTCTTTCCAAGGGTCAGATGGATAGATGGTTTATTATAAATTCATCGCAACCCCAGGATTGAATTATGAAATTATTTACATTAAAAATTTGAAAAAAGAACTATGTATAAAAACTTAGGGAAAATATTGTATACACTACAATTACTACAATATACTACAATATACACTACTATTGTATACACTAAATAACCTTATTTCTAGCACTATAACTTTACTTTATTTCTATATCAGTTTAGTACTATCTGTCAGTAAAAGTTCAGACTTGTACATGTAAGTGTGCTATTAATACATGATATACATTTAAATGATTATTTTCACAGAAGCAACAAGCTATATGATGAGNNNNCATGGTTGATGATGATGATGATGATGATGATGATGATGATGATGTTAATAATAACGATGATATCCCGTAGGTTCTTCACCTTCCACCGGATCTCTCTGATACAGCAAGTAGAACACAAGAAGATGCCATCAAACAAAAACCAGGCTCGTTACCTTGTCAAAGTGGAACCAGTAAACTTGACTTTTAGCGAATCAACATCGACTGTAACAAGTAAGAATACAATTGTTTAAAGGCTCATGAGCATCCAACAGCCTTTGCGCGATTTTCTTTGATTTTGAACCAATCAGAAAGCAACTTTAAGCATGAGATCATTTTTAAAGCAAAACAAGCGATCGTAAACGTTCTTGGATTCGCGTGGGACTAACAAAAGTTATTGTGGTGTGGGAGGGGGTGGGGGAGACGAAATGGATCCAACAGGTGTTCCGCCGACATGTGTGCGGAGTGATTAGCAGCTTTCTTGCTTACTACACAATATAACACAGCAGTTCTTAGTGTTATAAGATAATAACTCTGTAGTTATAAGTCATAAAATATAAATGATTAATTGCTTAATAATGTTATATCACGATACTTTAAGGGTGTATTTTCTTACTCACATGACGAGAATCAGCAAACAAAAACTGCTCATGAAATGAAATAATATGAATAGACAGAAATAGGATAGGACTCATACTTCGTGAGAGCTCGAGACATAAAAAATACAATGCGGTCAATGATTAAGTGTATAAGAATGGTTATTATATAGAAAGTATGTGGTGACACACACAGGTTCCAAGCCAGGGGACTAGTCTTGGTTTAAGTGGGCACMAAGAGRTCTCAAAGCCTTTACTAAGTGAAATAAAAAGATTATGAACAGCGGTTCTTATCTAACGTTTTAGGTCTATGAATAGTTAACGTCTGTATAAGAATGTTATCAGTTATAGTATGTTTTACAACACCTTCATTCCACATTATACATAACCTTCACATCAAGAAATAGGATTACGAATGCATTCAACAACGCCTCCTCGACCGCAGGTTGGATGTTTTTGAAAGTGTGCAAACTMTCTGACATTTTTAATGATCATTTTTCAGCCAATCATAACAAAATTGATTGTAAAACCTGAACGCAGTCTTACTATTTGATAAAATCTATTGAAAACAAMGATAACTGAATACAATTTACAACGATCCATTATTCGAACATTTGTTACAATTAAAAAGCGTGTATTGGAATTGTGTTGATCAAACGTTCGATTTGTACTGATCAAAAGTTCTCTTTTTGTCTTGATTTTGGGAATCTATTTCGGCTCTCCTGTTAAATTTCGGTATTTTCTGTGATTTTTAATTATTGAATATTTACATACACTCATAGACAATGGTATATCAATATTAATGATATTATCACATCCTACTTATGACCATATGTACTACACGTCTACGTGGTGAAAGAACTCTAAAGATTCATTCAAAACAAGAATTCCAAGACATAAGAACGTTTGTTGAACATAATCGAACGTTTGATCATCGAAAATTYGATCGTTCGATCAAGAGAGATATCGCGGTAAAACGAAGCCGTTTAGCTAGAAGGCGCGTATATTTATCAAAAATCAAGATAATCCATTTTGATTAATGGGCCAATATCAGGTTAGTGGTGCAACTTAATATAATTAATGTTAATAGGAAAAAAATGAAAATTGAAGTTTCTTTCTTCTAAGTGAAAGTGTAGGTGTACGCTTTTGTTATTGCGATCAATGATTCTATTGCGTAAAGAGTAAATGGAATCATTTTAGTCACCTGTTATAGAACTATTTTTACACTAAAATTAGGAAAATCGAAACGTTTTATCGAACAAATYCATGTATGTTTTAACGTTGTTTTTCGTTTTCTTTCACGATTTTTTACATAAATGGAGGTTTTCTTTACTTACAGTCACTACTCAAACCAGAGAAAGTTCATTTAAAAGAAGTATCCCAAAACAAATCGAACGTTTCATCAAGAGYAATCGAACTTTTGATCGCTAGTGAAAGTATATGATTTTAAATTTCACTCTAGATGTTGATAATGATCCAATGTTTATTTATTCAAAGACACTGCGACACATATTAATAGAATGAATTAACCACATTGTTAACATGTTAATTTTCATGAGATTCGCGAAAAATGAATAAATAATTTGCTTTATTATTATTCCATTACTTTATATCTCGTTAATTTTAATATACTATAATGCTAAAATCTATTTGATGCTTGGAGAGGATTACCACTTTCATTTCTTTAAATTCTGTTTTACTTTACTTACATCCGGCGTTTAGATYAAAAATAGTTCGCAGTGAAATTTATGATTTTATAGTTTTGTTATTCGATGATAGAAAAGAATGTGAGCGTTGTTGAGGGCCATTTTTCAGTTTTAGCTGTTTATTTGCTCACAATTGTTAATACTGATTCGGTGTTCTTTTTTGCTGTGCAAAATGACTTATATATTTAGTTGAGTAAACGTCTTTTCAACTGGATACCTTTCATGGCAGCTGTATAGATTATTAGGCATTCATTTTCTAGCATGGTCTAAACTCAGTAATACTTAGTCACCGTCCAATTGAGTAACTAACTATCACTCATTGTAAAGCGAGGTAGAATCATGACAAATTGACAACCTTCATGAAAATAGCTGTTTACATCTTACACATTAATTGTCCGCTTGATCGTATAAACTATAGTCATTTACCCTGTTTATAAAAGAATTTATGTTGCAAGAAAAATTTTCTATTTTCATTAAATTAACCAGTTTGTTTGTGTCGGTTGACTATGATCTCAAGCACGGCCGCGTGTTTAAGTTGTCTCAGTTACCTGTGCTCAGCWGGAGAGATCTCTCATTTACATTAAAAATACCYCGATATCAGTGTCTAACGAGGAGTTAATGACGCTAATTGATTTGGAGTAAGTTGTTTTAACTCATAAAAGTATTCCTTTAAGCAGTAAGTGGAATTCTAGAATTTAGTTCAAAGTTCTGCTACGGCTTTGGTTTTTGTAGGAAGATTGTTAGGAATGTTTTCTATGGAAGTTATATTCATCTAGCTGTCATTCATTTGTTCATTCGTTTTTTCTTCCGTTCATTTTTTCATTCACCCATCCATCCTTTCATCAAAATGCGCAATTTTTATCAGGAGGGGGTTGAATAATAAGCCAAAAAATCAGTAACTTTAATTACTACACCCTACCAATTTATTTATATCTATTTATATTTATTTGTTTATTTATTATTTGTGGAATAAAGAGTTTTCACAAATTGTAGCACGCTTTTCTTGAGAAGTTTTCGAATCTGACACCGTTGATTTAGTTTAAGTTTCTACTTTTAAAGTTCTAGTTAATTTTAGACGTTGACCCTCCCCCCCCCCACCTTCCTAATAAATATTGGGGACTCCATAATGAGAATGCGGCGTATAAAGTACTCGTTTTCATGTGTTATTCTTGTATTTGCAGTTCATTATCTTATCTTGTTTGATTTTTTTTTTGTTTATTGATTTAATAAAGCAAACAATAATTAGAAAGTGACAAATTAACCAGTTTTTTTCAGTTTTTATCTGTTCTCACAGTGAATTTTTTTGACTCACTGATAACTTCTTGTCAGTTAGTACTTTTGAGATTGAACACCAGGCTTCCTACAACACTGTTTCCTACAGGAAGCCCATGAAAGAACATTATCTACACCGATCGACTCAGTCTCCTCTGAAACTAGTTTACCCTTTAAACTTATCTCTAGAGGTTTTAATAACAATTTGCACTTATCACGATCATAAATTCATGTCGTAAAGTTGAAACATTCAGGATGTTCTGTTGGAAGATCAAGAAATTGTCTACGATTTTTGAAAAATACCTCATCCTGATCCCAAGTTACCAAGATACTTGGTAATCCCTTATTTTCAATATAATTTCTCATAATGTCGATACCAGGGTCTTTGATTCCGATCCCAAACAAAAAGCCTTATCCCTTATATATGTCACGACCCTGAAATATAGCGTTAGTAAAAATGTTTTCTGAGAGAGGCTTAGTCGCCTTCGCCCTTCAATTTTCCTTGTATCGTGAAGACAGGACTCATGGAAGACTTGCATGCAGTGAGATCCAGGATACTTCTAGATTTTATTCCCAATAACAATTCAATCCACTCAGTCAACCACTGAGGCTAACGGGCGAACAAGTAAAGCCTTCTTGGATTAATATCCTGCTTACGTCAAAGATCACGACCAAAACCATTCTGTATTCAACGACAATACTACTTCTCGTTGATGGCTAAAAACATTTTCCGCTACATTCAGCATGCGTTTGGCGTCACGGTGACGTCATTGAGTCGTTCRCATGACAACTGTTCAGTTTGTTTCCTGTTGCCCATGGTGAATTGAGTTCTGAATGTAATTTTCCTTCGTGTTTATTTTTCTGTTCCTGATAGATTTCAAGTGCTGACGTGGGATTATGTTGTCCATTTGAGCGTTTTTCGGTTTCATGTAAAAACCCAACATCAAAACCTTGACGTTTTGGCCCTTATTTTTGGCTTCTTTTTCGATTTCTCTCAACTTGAAGACACAGCTGTCGTTACCCTTCAAAAACGCATAACATCMCCTGGCCTTGTTCCCACTTCAACACTTCAATTCAGTGCCACAATACAAGCGCAAAACAGCTGCTTTCTYACTTTTCTACTCAAAAAACTAATTTTTTGAGTGTTTTCTTCAAATTCAAAGTTGTTCGTGACATCATTTTGAGTACGTAGTACGTCATTGGCGAGAAACTGYCGTCATGATTGTGAATGACGTCTATTASTTTGGTATTAAAGTCCGTTTTTTATCAGTGCCTGACTTCGAGCGGCTGTAAAGAGGCGGGAAAAGAATCTTATTGATTGCTTATCGATTGCTTTAGGCTTCATCGATGGATGTTTCTTGAATAAATCAAGKGAGAATCAACACTGTGTTTGACGAGGGCAATTATTATTCAAATCGGTCAAAATAGTAGTAAAATACTTAAAGGAAATTTAATGAATGAATAATTGGATGTTTGATTAAGTGAACGAATGAACAAATAGATGTGTGAATAAATGACATTTGATCGAAACGAAATGAGCTCATGCGATGAAGCATGAAAAAAGTGACCAAAACCATAAACGAGACTACGGCGAACGTGTAGAACTCTCATCTTTCATGATCACTCAAACTTTGTTATGATTATTTAGAAATGCTCGTTTCAAAGAAAACATCAACCGTGCGTAGTTTGAGCCCACGGTTGTGATGTCCTTAATTACTATGGCAACGAGTCAATTATCATGGCGCCCTGATGGTGGTAGTGSCACCTTTGCCCCTCGAATGCCGGACACGACCGGGGATTTTGATAGAGATAAATAATCWTTTGATGTAGGAGAGTTATTTCCTTGAAATTCAGTGATTTCGCAACGACTTTGCATAATTTTCAACCATCTGAGCCGTGGGATGTTCGTCKTGCGGTGATARACAATAAACCTGTACTGTTCTCTGTTTTAATGAACGAAGTTTTTTCTGTAATTCACACACTTCGCAATGACTTTGCGCAATTTTGACATCCTGATTGGTGGGATGRCCGTCCGTTTGTCCCGTGTTCCGTCAATTAAGAAAMYWYACCTCYTCAATCACAGGACAATCTGCTGAAAACATACCTTAATTTTCATKACCAATTCAGTACCTTTATCAGCGCTCGCTGCTTGATCGAACGATTGATCGCAATAAAAAACAGCTGCTTTTAGTTCATTTTCATGAGCAATTTACTAAAATTGAACGAGTGATTACTAATCGAACGATTGATCGCAAAGAGTTTCAATTAATTTTCAGTTTTTCTCAATTCGAACACTTGATCAATGAAAGCATTGCTCTTAGCCCTAATAATCAACTGTTCTGCGTTCTTGTTAACCGAGTGTGTGCTTTCAAAACAAATCGAATGTTTAATCAATTAGAAGAGTTCTTTTGACTGAGCTCCTAGCTGTTTTCATTAAATATATYAAAAAATTAACAAATTGAATTCTTGTAACTGAACACCTTGCTGTTTTGATTGAATTTGTGCTCTCCTTMTGAGGAAGAGGCATCAAAAAACATCTTATCCTATATTACTGCAGTTTGTGTTTATTGAATTTTTATTGTATAATATTACTTTCAATTATTACATAATATTATTATTGTAATGTTTATGTATTTTAGAATAATATTATTGTATTATATCTATATCAATATTTTTTTTCTTACATCCATTGCATATAAAACGATTTATAACTTTTTTAATGGGAATTTATCACTGTTATTTTCCATATGTGAAGATGATGCAAATGATTTTTTTTCTTGTTTTTTTTTTCGAAGTCTATTTTACCTCGCAAGTGGGTTTTTTGTTCGCTTTCTGAAATTTGCCTTTCTGGACCGGATAAATAATAACAATTTATGGCTTCTTTGCAGTGACAAGGGCCTAAGTAAGCTGTTTGAGCATTCCGTGTAATATTACTGCGGCAACTATTCATTTCCGTGAGAATTAATATGCTTGGAATAGCCCTTTGAGCCCTTTACGTCACGTATGTCGCGCGCATTGAGTTGTGGGATATGTTTGGGACGGGAAGACAAAATGGCGGATATTGATACTTTTCTTGTATGTGTGTTTATGTTTGTATTAATGTTGTAATAATGGTCAACTCTGCCTGTTGTGTTCATGGATGTGTCTCTAGTAGTCGTGTGTACAAGTATCTCACGTTTTATAAATTGCCAAAAGATCGACAAAGGAGAAAAAAGTGGAAACGACTCTCAAAAACAACTAGAGATGACGACTCGAAGTGGACTACAATATGTAGACTGCATTTCAAGGATGGGTGGAAAAGTGATTTTTATTCTGAGCCGACTATATTTCCATGGAGTACAGAGTGGCAGGAAGTTGTGTTGAACTATAATAATTACGTCGAAGATAAATTTAAAGCCTTACAAGGAGAAAATATGGACCATAACTACGCTGCCGCTCCGAAGATGATGGGGGTCCCGGCCGCTTTTATGAAAAAAAAGTTTGAGCGCACTTCTAACACTTCAAAACGCGCTTTGAGAAAAGTAAGTGTTTCTTAAATTTATTTGTTTGCTGCTAAACATAAGTGGATAATGCAAGGAAAATTACATAAGACTAACAGATTAAACAAATTAGTCATGCATAAATTGATACAAAGTGGCGTGCATGATATTTTGATTTAAGCTAAAGTTGAAACATTTCAAAATATTATTTCTAGATTGAATACTGTGAATCAGAAGAAGAAGAGAAACAAGAAACTCCTACTGGCATTTTCTCCCCTTCCCCTCCACCCAGCATTCAACCCCCTCAAGACACTAGTTCTGTGGATAAKAGTGACCTAGATGTATCAACAATGAAGGTGACAATAATTTAATTGACCAAAAGTACTTTGAACTTATGATTGCATAACTTGGAATATTCAAGATTTCATTTTTATTGTGTACACTATTATTAGATTCAAAGTCTAATTTTTATTTTGTATTTTTAAAAATATAAAAATGTCTCCCATTTGACATTTTTATGTCACTCTGCATTAAAAAAATGCAAAATTAAATCAAAATTGACAATAAAGTTCTCTTTTGTCTAGGTTGCATATTATACAGACACCTACTTACTTACAAGAAGTGAGTTACAGTCAATCCTCACTATAATAGAAGAGCATTTAGATAAGGATGTCAACGACATAAACCTACTAAAAAAACTCTTAAAAATTACAATAACATTGTTAAAAAATGTCCAAGAACAGCTGGATACAGTTATTGAACTTAGAGACTGGGACAGGTTTTTGCTGAGGAGATTTGAGGGTTCTGATGATGATATAAAATTTTGGACAGGGTTTCCAAGTTACGACAGTCTAATGTACTTTTTCAATGGTTTTATTGTTCCAAATCAGGGAAACATGAAGTATTGGGGTGCTAATAATTCAACGATGAATAGAGAATTCAAAACTGGGATAGCTAGACAACTCACACCAGTAGATGAATTATTTTTAACTCTTGTCAAGCTGAAGCGTGCCAGTGCAAATGAAGATCTGTCTGAAAGATTCAAAATATCAAGCTCACATGTTTCATCAATATTTATWACATGGATAAATCTTATGGCAAAAACACTAAGGAAAATTGATATGTGGCTGAGTCGTAGAAAAGTAAAAAAAAATGATGCCAGATGTTTTCAAGCCGCTATATTCKGATGTGAGAATCATTGTTGACTGCACAGAAATGGAGATTGAGCGTCCATCTGACTTTGAGCTCCAAWCAACAACATATTCAACTTATAAAAGCAGAAATACTGTCAAAGGTCTTATTGGACTGTCTCCTACTGGCCTTACTACATTTGTGTCTCCTCTGATGGAAGGAAYCATCAGCGATAATGATATTACAGCTCAAAGTGGCTTGTTAGAAAAACTAGAAAAAGGTGACGCAATAATGACAGACAGGGGTTGGACAAATAAATCAGCTCTACTTAAGCATGGAATTAGGCTAGCTGTTCCTGAATTTCTAATGGATAAGAAGCAGTTCCTCCTACCAGATCTAGTCAGGTCAGTTTCTATAGCAAGGTTAAGGATACATGTAGAAAGAAGTATTGGCAGAGTAAAGCAATGGAATATTATAAYCAATAGAATACCTMTGACACACTGGAACAARTTYAATGACATTTGGTTTGTCTGTGCAAGTTTGCCACTTTTCTGGCCACCAATTATTGATGTTGAAGATACCTAGATGATGAGACCAAGAGAGCCAAATAATTTTGACCTGCAGAGGCAATTATATTTATTTTTGCTGACTGGTGATTGTGCATCTTGTAAGTATTCAATTCAACATCTGTATAATATTACACTAGATCAAAAAAAGCCATCCTATGTTGATTGGGTGACTCTACCATACAAATTGATTAGAATATACTGTAGATCAGTTTATTCATTGGCTTAATATTAACAGCTATATGTTTCAATGAATTAAATTATAAGTTAGTTGTAAAAAAGTGAGTAATGCTAATGATTAGCTTTTTAACATTACATCAACTACGTATACTACTGAATATTATATTGTCAACCATAAGAATATTATGGGTTGAATTAAGGATCACTCAATCAACAAACGTTTTAATATATCTATAAATGAAACCTTTCCTGTACAAGTGCAGGTATGACGTACTTAGAATGAAAATCTATTAGTTGCTCTCTSGTATCATTCCAAAATTGTTGTTCAAAGTTTACTTGAACAATTTCAACATTGTATTTGTCACTAGTGAATATAACTACATAACATTGAAGACTTCTAGTTTGCATTTGAATTTGGTAAAAGAATTTGTGCTTTTTCTTTACAACTATTTGAGTTCCATCCAATTTAAATCCAAAGTTACTGTCCTTAGATCTTGTCGTAACTGCAGCTAATGGTGTTAACTCTCTGCTTGCTGACAAACATTTAACCTCTATGACAACTTCTTTACCATCTATACTTGCTATCCTGTCTGGAGTAGCAGCTAGTATGCCACTTGGCACTTCTACAAATAGCCCACATTTCCTAATTGTACAGACAAATCCATCCTCATTTATTTTCTTTTGAAATTTCCTCACAGCATTTTCTTCATTTTCTATCCCATATTTGATGTGTGGTGAGGCATAATGGCCAGTTTTTCCAATTGTTAATATTTTTTTTATCTGAACAGCTGGATTCCCTTTCCCACAACAACTTTTTGCAATGCTGGCTGTAATTCTGCCTTTCCTTGCCCTGTACCATTTGATGTTTTCTCCTTGGCCTCTTGTTTCTCTTTCAATGTGTGACCTCTCTTCTAATGACACCTATGATAATGATGAATAAATGGTATACGTTAAATGATATAAATCATTTATTCATTGATGCTTCATCTACTTCAAATAATTTTGACAGTCATGAACATACAAATATACAATATAATAAATAATAAAAAAGTGGGGCATAACAATTATTAAATTTGTGAAACTAAGATTTATGATACAGTAAATATTATTTATACATAATTCACTCTATAATTGAATAATGAAATTATATTATAATATTATTGTGACGTCTATTTATTCATTTTATTTAATATAATGCAATTGTATATAACAAATCTCAATGGTATTTATTTAATATTACCAAAACTATTGTTTGCATGAATATTCAATTTAAAAATAATGTCAAATGATTACTATTTATACCTGATGTAGATAATTATTATTAATATATTAATTAATGAAAGCAATAAAACAATTCAAATGTTTGAATGCCATGTATATATTCTTATATATTCTTATATTCTTAACCCTTCTGGGGATACAGCCTTTTGCAAAAATTATGAGAATTATCAAAATATCATAATTATTATGATGTATCCATATCCATATATTGTCCGGAACACGCGGATTTGCTAGAATAAATAATTCATTGTTGACATCGAGAAAATGTTCAGAACTACGGATAAGTCCGTCGCCAAAAAAAACACAAAACTACAAACTAAGACAAGGGACTAAGGGCATCACGCGGGACTACCCATCATGCACTTGCATTGATATTATCGATATTTAGATATTTCAACAATTCTTATAATTTTTGCAAAAGCCTGAAGTGTATACATTCAGATTATGTTATATTGTGCTTTGATTTTTTTTTCTTCTAATTATACCTTTAATTCATTTGCAATGATTTCTTCTGGGTTGAGATTGGCAACACTGGAATCATTCTCTTGGCTGGAGGTGCAGCTACTAGAGGTAGTATCCAGTACTTGTTGTATGGCCATTTTATGAGGAACTTCACTATAGTTTTCTTTTAAATGCCGTAAATCAATTTCAGGCTCTAGAACACTGTGGTATTCTGAATATTTTTCTAGTGGTCGCAATCTTTTAACTTCTTTTCCGTAGGTGTGTTTTTGAACTTGATGTTTTCCTGTGATAATATAATTGATATTATATTTCATGGACATAATTATAAGTTTATAAGACATGTAAGAACTTTATCAAGTCCTGACATTGTAAAACTATATTTAAAGGTAATATTTGTTGAAATTGTCATACCAGTGCACATTGGTTTGGTTTTCTGCTTGCTATTCCTTGAAGGCATATGCCACTCCTGTGGTTTATCAGTGCATGATGTACTGTGCTCTTTATAATCCAGCAGAGCAAACAACACTCCAGCAACATGATTACATTTCCCTGCCACTCCAGCAACACACTCACACTTTGCAGTCAGAACAATAGCTGAGTCATTCTCCATGCAAATGGAAACTAGGTAGTCGACATTTCTCATACTGGCCATGACAGAAGCTCTTATATGGGTAACATTTACAACAGGGCAAAACCGTAATTCTTTGACATGACCAGAGCCATAAAAGTTGAATCCCTTACGTAAGGGTTTATCAGCAACAGGTAGGTCAAATTCAGAAAAGTCTTCATCATCTGATTCTTCTTTTACATGTACATGTAATCCCTTCGTATTCACCTGTAATAACAAAAATGGCTTGATCTGTGATCCTGTGTATACATCAGTGACTTTTCAAATTGCTTTTTAATTGTTAAATGATTGAACAAAATCTTTTACATTTATATGTTATTTATTATCATGACATATAATTTATAGATCAATTTTGGCAGTGATTTATCTGCTAATACAATAATTCAAAATTCACTAATAATTCATTACCTTCAGCACTGTAACAGTTCTTTTCACAAGATATTCGTATATGTGGCTGTAGCAATATTGGTCAGGTACAACAGACATGTCTTTTGTCCAGTTTTTTAGCAGAGGAGGAGAAATTTGTGGTACTTTCTGACGAACATGTTCCTCAACGATTGAATATATGAGAGTCCCATCTGGATCTACTACAAATTTGTCAAGGCCGCTTGATTTAAGATCTGAAATTCTGTGATAAAAGTAAAATGATCACGAATTTGTGAAATTTTATTTCTCACGTAAAATTTATGTATTAAAATAAGTTAAAAAAATGTTTTACAAATACTTTTTTGTCCACTTTTTTATTGAAAATCAACTGAAATCAACTTAAATAGTTAAATAGGTCAACTTCAAGACAAGAAGTTAGTTTTTAATAGGTCTGTATCACGATATTTTCTTATTTTGTTCGACACTTTTTCCCGCCTCTTCGGCTCTTCCGGTTTACGCGCGTAKCAATTTCTTTTCCCGCTCTTTTGAATCCGATATGTAGCAGTTTTTTTCTCTTTTTAATCGGAAAGCTCGTTATTTAACAAGTGAACTTGAATGGTAAGAATGTGATACAAATAAACATTTGCTATTTCTATTTCGGACGAATGTAAACAACGGCGTGCGGCCGTCCGAGGAAGAGGGAGAACGATGTCACGCTATCTATTTTTATCTTTCTACTTTTTGTTGACTTTTATAAAATTTACGCTTTTGGTGTTATTGCGCTTTGAAAGTTTTTATAATTTCTCTAGCATCATAGTCAAATTCTTCTAATTTAAGAAGTCGTTTCATTGATAACTATCGATATAATTGCTGATTTATTTCGCCGGTCTSACAACTTTGGCTAGTTTGCTCACAAAACTGCCGCAAAATTGCCGTGGGAATGTCACAATAAAACTAACCTTTTCATGAGTTGAACCTTTGACTCTTGCTTTCCAACAGTGAAACCTCTGGTTGATATATCTTTTCATTGACTCGACCGAATTGTCTTTTAACACCTTTTCAGGAAGGATTGCTCCCGGCACGTCGACTTCCGTCAACCTTACAAGACACTCCYCCATTTTGTCTTCCCGTCCCAAACATATCCCACAACTCAATGCGCGCGACATACGTGACGTAAAGGGCTCAAAGGGCTATTAACTGAGCATGATCATGCGTTCTAGAACAAATGATCGAATGCCTGGATTTAAAGTGAAAGGTATAGTTGAAATATCAATTGGTGAGCTTGTATAGCTTTGTCGGATTTATTAAGATCCCTGCATTAGTCGAATTACTGATCAAATGGAACAGTTGATCAAAAGAAAGCACATTACATTAATCGAATGAGTGGCTGATCAAAACTAAAATGCAACTTATGAAAGAATCGATCATCAAAAGTCGCATACAGCAATTTGATTTGAACCAAAAGTCATCGCATTTCATTAGTGGCCAAAGCATTGTTTGTCAAATGGAAGCAACGATCAGATTTCATTCAAACATGCAACACAAAATGAAAGCTTAGATCAAGAAGACAGTAAACAGAAATGGCGAAATCAAATAACTAGCCGAGCACGGAATACKAAGTAGAAGTGTATAGAATAAATGATCATAAAGGAAGTATTAATCATTGTTGTGATTGGCTATCGAATGTGTAGGTTTCTTGGTTGTATTTGCTCGCGTAATAACTTACGTAGTTGCGAAAGAGGTCTCCCACTTCCTTAAACTCTTATTAAAGTAAATATGATCAGGTGTTCTAGAAAAAGTGATCGAATGCATGCATTTAAACTGGATAAATTGAAAACAAACCTACTTTGTAAATGAGTCAGACAAAATGATAGCCTTAATCCTAATAGTTGTTGATTTTTTTAATTCAAATCTCTTCGTAGCCATACAACCATATCATAAGTATTTCATTTTAAAAAATTACCTTGAATTTTTAMATTCTGAAAAAAACTTAGTCACTTAGTTACGTATTGTGTACCACGTATTATTTATTGCGTATCACGTATACGAGTTGCGTATGAACGAGGTGTTTTGCCTATCGCCTGTTACGTTTTGCGTACCGCGTATTATTTATTACTTTTCATGTATACGTATTGCGTATGGACCAGACGTATTACGTAACGGCTATTATGCGTGTCGCCCTTGGCGGAACATCGTAAAACGTGGCTGAAGTGTGGGAGAGTATGGACCATCAAAGAAGAAAGCAAAAAGACACGAGTATACCGAACACGTGTAGTGATATATGCATCATGTTGCTACTCTAAGGACTACACTAAAAAATAACTTAATGTAGTGACCATAGTAGATCAAGATCAAATGGATTTCAAAACCTGGTGTTYAAAMAATACTTAATCATTTGGAATATGTTATCATTTAGAATCCTTCATCATTTAGAATACATCATCATTTAGAATACTTAATCATTTGGAATATATCATAATTTAGAATACTTCATCATTTGGAATATATCATCATTTAGAATACTTCATCATTTGGAATAWATCATCAATTAGGATACTTTTTTATTTGGAAAATATCATCATTTAGAATAACACGACCTCCATCGTAAGACAAATAAGTTGCGTCCTTTTAATGCTTTCTTTGCTCGATGAATAATCTACTTACAACAATTAATCTTGTTATTGTTTTTATAGCAACAAAATACTCCTACAGAATAAGCTTCCATTTAACAAATAACCAACTACCAAATAGCACTTAATGAAAGGAACAGGGCTAATAGCCGACCTTATGCTCCCCGTCTTTGCTGCAATCTAGTCCAATAGACAAAATTCACAGTTTTGACACCATTTCCTGGCAAAGTCCTGCTGTGGAAAGTYCACCTTAAWTGCAACATTTCTGGAAGGGGGTCCATGCTACCATGGTATCCTTACCTTAGTTCCCTGGCCAATTTTGTAAGTTGTGGTTATAATGTATCAATAGTGAACTTTAGATATTTTGCTTCAATGACTATTTAAAACAATGAAAACAATGGATAATCTTGATTTGTTCTTTTATTTCCCCGGAGCCGAGCCTCGTCTGCAATTCTTTTGTGCATGGAACCAAAATATCTAAAGTTGGCTATCAATTACCTATAGAAAATTTCCTTTAATTTAAGTCATTGATCACGGTGATTTCATCCTATTGGTTTACCATGTCCTGTATTGACATAATCATTTGTTTGGAAATACCGAGCAAACAAATAGTGACACCAAAAACATCTGGAAATGACACTTGAAATTTATCCGGCAGGAAGCCATGAGCAATACTTGCCCTAGGTCCCATGGGTTTTACAAAGTTTGATGAGCATTGTAATCTGTGTTCATTGTTTTTGTCAAAAGCTACAAAAATGAGCTCAAGATAATTAGTATTATTTTTTACGGAATAACAATCATTRAAAGCTTGTTTATCTGGTGAAAATTGCAGGTTTCTGGAAAGTTTTCTTTTGCCAGCTACTACCGGAAGATGCAGGGTATTGCAGGAAGGATTTCAAAACATACCAATATCACGTCAATCTTYCGTGTATTTCCAATTCGTTAAGTATTGTTTTGCCAAATGCCCAAATTGAAAAATTTCACGAAAGGCAGATCTGGTTTTCCTCACCTTAAATGTCTTGTCAATTTCACATATTTTTTTCCTGAACTTTCTTTTACAGCTCTGTAATGTTTTTATTTAGTTTTATCAATAATTATGTATATTTTTATATATAAGTAATATAAGTTATATTTTTGGAATATGGCCCAATCTTTCTGAAAGAAAGCTTTCGATAGACTTGTTTTTCTACTAGCGATAATCCTACACCAGTGTCTTGGCAAATACCACCAAACTAGGACGGATTTCTTCAAAGGGAATTTACCACCTCTCTGGTAAAGTAGCTTATACTTATTATTTTATTGACGAAGATTTTTTAGCTGCGAAAAGTCGGTTTCACGTCTCCWTCCGTGAGATGCTTAAAGTGTTCTGGGGAATTTCCAAAATACGGTACGCCAGAACACTGTAATTGGAAAACCTCTTAGTTATGCGGGTCTATTTTTTGGATATTCCTCAAAAACGTTTTTTTTTCTCTCTCGCAAAACTCCAGTGGTTGATTTAAAGCTCAAAGGAGTCAAAGAATTCAATTTCCCATTGTCGCTAATTGAATCGCAAAATGCCGGCCTCTTGCTCATAAAGAACTACTAAAGCGTTTTTACATGAATGACTTGCGTTTCAACATAGTTAGCATGTTATTCAACTCGGGACAATTGCTGTTTAAATTGGTCCGCCTTTTTTTGACATGTTAAATCAATTTTTAAAAGGTCACACACGACCGAAAGTAATGATGGGTTTTGATGATTTTCGCTGTAATCTGGAATATCACTGGAAACAATAGAACCAATCAATAAACGTATTTTGATGATGGACCGGAGAACTTTGGCTACCTTTTGGTTCTTATTGTTATTAACCAAAGAACTCAATAGTTCACGCATGCGCTTTAGAGTCCATCCTGTCATCCGGCGGGCGTCGTGACGTCATTGCATCTTTTCTTTGTCTCCTTGAAGTGGCGTTTAAATTGTTTCCCGATTGAGAAAAAAATTCAAATGTCATTAAGAAAGGCGATTAAACGAAACGACACGATTCGATGTTTGTCTCATAAAGCACTTGATTAGCAAACCTTATCTCTTTGCTTTRACTGTGTCATCCGTACGTTTTAATTATGTAAGATATAAATCTTAACAAAGTGTACATGTATGACCTATATGAATGGTTAGTATTGAGCGTCTTATGCAAATCAAACCAGTACACTGATCGACAGGTGCTGTCTAATACGCATGCGTACTCTCGACTAATTTGTTGTTAGCARACTACGTCACCTACTGTGTATAGTCGAATAATTCACCTAAACGCGCACTGCATAACAGCAAGAAAGAGCGCTTTTATTGCATCGAACCTCYCATATACGTGGCGTTTTGAAGTCATTTTATAAAAGCGATAAAGGCGCGGGAAATTCTCGTTGTGTATGTTGTAACAACCGTTGTTTATTATTTTTGTTCGTAGATGCATTTGACAGATCCCCAGACGTTGGTTTCTTACGTAAATGACATTCTTAATTGAACAAGTGACTTAATACATTCACCGACGCAACCAAGAACACGCTCATCACTGCCAGAAKGGACTTCCAACAGTATCTATCTCGTCTAGAAAATTGATGTGGAATCTTAAAGAGRTCTACTACAAACTCAACTGAGAAATAGCTGGACATAAAAGTTTGGACTCAACCGGAGGTAGCAACAATTCTATATTATTTCATAGTGAATTTGACAGCCATGCGCGCCTAATTCGACAACATCAGATTTGAGCAAATGAAAAGGCAGAGGTCTGTGGAAATAGAATTGAAAAAGTAAATCTTTGGTTTTGATCTTCAAGAGGGAAGAATATTGCAGCAGTATTTTAGTGTGTATTTCCAGAGGGAGTTTTATATCGCTTTTGATCAAGGAAGAGCGAGTTTTATTAGCAAGAACTGTCACATGTGTCGATAACCACGCGAATACTAAGCCAACTTAAAAACATTTACTCGAATCTTCAGTACTATGGAGAGTATAACAATAGCGAGTATTATCGTGACGGGAATTGTGCGTTTAAATTCCAAAAAATCAACTTATTGAGAAACACAAGAGATCAAATCAACAACGGAGATTTTTTTGGAAATTCGGTGTCAAATTTCTTGCCGATTTTTACGAGCTCCTACGCTTAAAAAAAAACTTATATTTATCTTGATCTGACAATTCAAAGACATCTCTTCAGCGTGTATTTATCAAGAATTCACAAGGTGGAAAAATTTGATTATTTATCAAAGACAGTTTCATATGATACAGCAAGACTTGTTCATATGAAATTATTGAGATTCTTTAAATGAGTTTGACATGGATTTGATKTAGTGACTAGCACACAATGGAGGATTTGACTCGTTCTTTCGACGCATCGAATCCTAGTGAAAAAGTTGTCATTAATGTCGGAGGTCTTCGCCATGAGACGTACTCCAATACTCTTCGTAGCATCCCCGATACTCGGCTSTACTGGATCACCGAAAACCCCACACAGCTCGCMGAATACGACCCGAACTCCAACGAGTATTTCTTTGACCGCCATCCGGGGGTTTTCGCGCAAGTTTTGAATTTTTACCGTACCGGAAAACTCCACTGTCCAAACGATGTATGTGGCCCACTATTTGAAGAAGAYCTTGCTTTCTGGGGAATCGATGAACTACAAGTAGAACCATGTTGCTGGTTGAATTATAAAAAACACAGAGAAGCACAGGCACACCTCGATCCCTTTGAGACCAGYGACTCTGATGGGGAAAGCGTTGAYGARATGGACATGACGATTTATGGTCTTGTAGGGGACTCTATACGAAAGAGAAATCGAACTTGGTGGAAACAATATCAGCCTAAAATATGGACATTATTTGAAGAGCCATACTCCTCCATTCCAGCTCAGGTAAGATGACGTAACTTTAACCTAGTAAAGATCAAAGCGTTCCCCTTATTCAAGAATATTTTTGTTCATGCTCTGGTCACAACTTGCAGAATCTTAACCTAACTTTAACCTAGTAAAGATCAAAGCGTTCCCCTTATTCAAGAATATTTTTGTTCATGCTCTGGTCACAACTTGCAGAATCTCGAGTTACAGCCGTAAGTTCGGTTTTTCTTGTATTATGACTTATGTATTTTAACCAGATTCGCGAGAAATGTCCAATTTATCATGATTGGGTTAGTTGGAATTATTTCACGAGGAAAATACTTGCTATTAGTATTCAAAGCTCTCTTGGACTTAAAAAGCGAGCTCACTACGACTTAGAAAAAGCCTTTAGTTCAGTTTCTGTTTTTTGTTGTTTTTGTTTGCACTATTCAAACCAAAGTCACCAAAAAATATCAAGTTTCTTAATATTTTAATTGAGCAGCAACATGTAGACGGCTTTTTTCCCCGTGATTAAGAAAAAACTTGACTTGAGTTTAAGTTTGTTATGATTTTGATAAATTTTCTTAATGAACTGTCAGAAGAAAATAAGTGCATTATTGATGACTGGTAATTGAATTTGAATTTATTTATAGTAATTACATAATKATTCCCAAAACTTTTTTTCACGTAGTCAACACATATTTACTTTTTGCAATTTTCCTACAAAAAGGATTCAATTTGAAAACAGGGAATGAATTTACAGTACATTAAATCAACTGAAAACTGATATAGTACGATATTGAGTATATGTTAATAATTTTATTATTTACTTAATGTCTGGATAACCGTCGAGTTTATAGAGTATTTTCATACAATATTTAGATATATATTAGATTTAACATCTTGTGCTCATGTTTTTCTGACAATTGTTCTAGTTTTATTTATTCCACCTACTTACAAATACTCATACTTTTTAATTGAAGGAGTTTATTAGTTTTCCTCGTCAGAAATATCACTTTAGGTTGATTTTTTTCCCAGTGAGACATCGGGAGTAATTTGCATTATGAGTTTCTGACATTATTCGATTATTTTCCTCTGAAATATCTCTATATAGCTTCTAAATCTTATAGCTTGCATAATAAGTACTTTCTTCTTATGAGCACTCTAAGACTTAAAACAATCGTCTTAACTTCCTCTTGATTATTACTTCTAGAACACTTCCTCGATTATTGATTTTRGAATATGACATTTTTGCCAGTTATTTTCTGTTAATAGTTTGGGACGTATATATGTCTATTTTAGTACTTGTCGATCACTGCTTCTAGAACATTTATCGTTGATCGTTGCTTCAAGAACACGTTGGYGTTTTGRTTGTATCAGTTTTGTAAATCATTAAAATGTATCTTCCTGATTGCTTCTTCTAGAACACTTTTCTGATCTTRGATTCTGAAACACATTTGACTGATTTAGTATAATTCATAATTATTTATTCTTGATTTCTGCTTCTGGAACACACTTCAGTATTCATTGCTTGTAGCAAGAACTTTTCKGATCATTTATTTCTTATCATTTTATAAAAAAAATCTTAATAATCGCTATGTATCTATTCATGATCACTGCTTCTAGAATACTTTGATTATTACTTCGATTCTTGTGTCAACGAATCTGACACAARTGCACGACAGCGTCTGTCTTTTGATTTGCAATCTTTTTTTATCATCTATGACTGTTCCTAACTATTCTTTAAATTGTGTAATCTCGGCGGTTAAACCCACTCAAAACTCCTCCGCTATTCTAAATAATTTTAAACAASAAATTAAAATGYGTCGAATGACTGTGAAATATGCCTCGTCCTACGCTCGACTAGTTTAGTTTTTTTTCTTTTCATTGATTGCAAAATAGAGGTCGATATACTCTTAAAGTGCATTTTACTTTTGAACCGATTTCTTAGAAGATTATATTTATGGTTTGACGATTTTTTAACGATTGATTTATTTAATAATCCTTATCAAAATTAACTTGTTATTGTTATGTGATGTAGATATAGAAATATAGATAATAATAGTAATGATMATGATAATATAAATGATGATAATAAAATTATTAGCTAAACATTTCATATTTGTCATTAGAAAATTCAATTATAATATTACTAATTGTTTCAAGGAGAAAAATAGCCTTCAAAATTAGAATTACTGTAAAAAATAKTTTAAAATTTCAATTTCAAATAAAAAACGAAGTGTATATCTCACACTTTGTGAAATATTTTGCTGTTCATTGTTGCGAGTAACATTGTTTTTTCTTGTTTTTATGAATCGCAGCCAACGCTGCATTGTTCTTTAACATATATTATTAAATTATTAATTAACTGAATAGTCTTAAAACGGTTCCAAGCGCATTAATATTTAACACCCTTGCTCTATATATTCAAAKTGTATTTTTGAAAAGCATGAAATATTTTGTTTAAACGTATTGTGAGAAGAAATCAGTAAAGACAAGAACAACATGGCGGTCTTTATATTAGCAAACTTTGTCTYGAGAGAGAAATATTATTGTTTCGTTCAGCTTTGTTATTGTGTTTCAAATATTCCGTATTTGACAACGATAAGCTTATAATCCCTTAGCAAGGAGCTTTACCGAAAAACAAAATGGCGGCCGCAAAATTGGAAGCGATAACTTCGGGAAAAAAGCGAGCAAAAACTCAAAAAAACTGAAAAATAAAAACATAGTATGCAAAGAAACCAGAGATCAGTTTCGCTGTAAAATTTTATATARATGAAAAGAACACAAATATAATATCGTAATATTATGGAAAAAATACATAGTTTTTCAAAGGACGCTTGTTGATGGTTGGTTTACTAATGCTTGTAGAGAGGGCTTAAGTAAAACGTTCCACATGCTGATTTTGTTCTCAGTGAAATCTCACGAAAATACATGAAATGGACTCAAAGAACGCACTTTGCTTTCATATATATATCTGATTATTTAAAAAATAAAATAATTAAGAACGTGCTAGTGAGTGAAAGAGAAAAAAAACTTGCAAAATCAGCGCTGCTCAAAGAACTGAAAGCGGACGAAAAAAAAGCCTACTGGCTGTCGTTTTGATGTTAAATTTTTAAATCTTATTTGAGTATAGTGAACGTTTAAGTCGATGTTTGCCAAGTTCAACAGTTGTCTGAGTATCCTAGTAACCGATTTGGTTGCTAAAACTAAGATGCTTCAATTGCGTGGGTTTACACTTGGCCATCATTTTAGATCGCCATCTGTTTCGGCAACTGTTCATTGCTATTTTTACTTTGGTTTCTGACTAGAATCTTGCARAAAGCGATACGAMATCTTAAAGACATTTTCCTTGAGTAATCTAGTTGTCGTTGGAAAGTATCTGTTTGAGCTCGAAAKGAAATTGCACTTTCAATATTACATAACGCTTAGCGAGAGCGAATACACTCAAGATATAGTCGATTTAAGAGCGGATGTCTGAAATCTTTTGAATTAAGTTTTCTTGTCTTTGATCGAGTAACAATCAGYCCTTGAAAAATAGCATCATCGGGATGAATCAAGTTAGATRGAAAACGTTTTGACATTCGATATTGTTATATTGATGTAAGTGCAGAAGTTATGTTYATGTCTACACGAAGTTGTGTTTTTTAGATTAAATTTCAGCTCTTTAAGTCATGTGGTTGGAAAGTTGGAAAGTGAAGAAGCTTTGCTGCATTCAAAAGATGAATATCCAAAGTGATTGGATTCTTGTGTTTTTTTTTGTTTTTTTTTTCGTTTTTTTGTTTTTGTGTAACTTCTAAAATATAAAATACCAGTTCCATTTTATGGCAGTTTTCATGCTTTTGATACAAAAATTATCGTCGCCATTACTACTTCATTACCGCTTTAAATAAAATAGAGATAAAAAGAAAGAGAGAATGAAAGAAAAGAAAAGAATGGGACGGAAATATAGGGAAATAATAGGGTTATAATGTAGTTCAATAATGTAATTCGGTAAATATAGCTTTTAAGAACATATTCCATAATGAATTGCAATGTTTATAGAATAAATGCTGTTTTGGTTTTCATAAAACTACACGAACATRGTTCGAGAACTCGGATGATTTATTCTAGAATCAATTTCCACGTGTAATCGTTTTTGTTATTGTTGGTAGACTTCCGTATTGAGAAATATCGGCYGCAACAACCAACACAAACCGAAGTTGTTCTATTATCATTAAAATGAATGCTCAAAAAATTAGAAAATTAGAAATACTATTTTCTGTGGTTCTACTTCCGGCTGAAACAACAAGTTAAACCTGTTTCGTGAACAGGTTTTTTACCTCAAGGCAATCAGTAAAAGATTTCAGCTTTTTAGATATATTGTGAACACTTAGTCAAATAAATGAGCAGAAAATTCTAAAATTATAACTAGAACTAGTTTGGTGGGGAAGGCAGTTATTTGGACACCCCTCGCCTCCCCCTGAAGGTGTATATCTCATATCATGTCAGCAATGTTGACGTTTTAAAATTCCAATTTGTGCGATTACACCAGTTCTGAGTTAGTGCAAGACAAAATAGAGCCTCTGGCGAACTACTGTTATTTACCAAATCGAACTTTCGTCTATGGTTTTTTATCTTGTAAAATGTCTATGCTATGCATGTCTTAAAACAACATCTAATTTAAGGGCTCGAGGCCATCGATACAATTCTGGCCTGTCAAATTCATTGAATTCATAATCCTGGTTCCGATCTTGAATTCTCGTACGTAAAGTGATTATGTAACGTTTTGTTTTCAAATCTATTGCGAATGGAATAACCCTCCTCCCACCGTATTGCTGGGTCCGTAAAACGTGCGTCGACTTTAGAGTGCTCTTTTCCCCAGCGTAATTGCTTTAAAGGGAACGGCTTAATGAGAAAACGCATGAGGTCTTGGTCCGTCATCACATCAGTGTTGACGGATTTCCCTTGAGGTCTTGTAACGTTTGCGTTTCGAAGCGTTAAGAAAAACGCAAAAACGTTACGGGTACGCAACAGTGTGAACGGAATTGAACAATCCTTTCACTCTCCCTCGTTACACTTCGATTGGATTTTGTTTCACGTATTTTCTGATTTACCAACATTTGTTTGTTTGTGATGGACGAGTTAATTTATTTGTGTGGATGGCATTTTTATTGATCGCGAACACGCGCGTTGGAATAATATTTTTAATTGCAAAATAAACCTGAAAAAGTTCATATCCTTGAGGAAATTGCTCAGTTTATGTACCAGATCTAATCCTTATGACAACTATGCAAAGATTTGTAAGAATACATGTATTATGCTATAGGAAATGGACATCAATCAATTCGAACGTCATTGATTAAACCTTCTAGAACTCACGATCAATCGTTCGTTTTTGTTTATTTTGATGAAACGTTCAAAACTCATTTCTTTGTTTATGGCAACATTGACGGCAAATCCTCTGTTTTATTTAATCGATGGTTGTATTTGTAATTCTGTTTCTTTTATTCATATATAGTTTTTTCGATTTATTCGATTGAAAGAAAATTCATTTGTTTTGAAGTAATGGGCCTCTTCCTTCCGTCTGACGCTTTTCCCCAGATGATTCAGTGCCTAAGTTCTTATGGTAATCGTCTACTTAGGCCACTTCTTATAGATCTGTCATTTTTAAAGAAATACGGTTCGAACATTTCATCAAATTAAACAAACCAGAACGATACGATACATTTCGAACGTTTTCGAAGACAGAACGAATGATCAAGTATTCTAAATACGTTCATCTTTTTAAAATGCTCTTAAAGCAATAATTATGATAGTAAAAATGAAAATAAATATAAACAATCTCTTTTATTTCCTCCTTTCTTTCTTCCACAGTTGAAATTTAGAAATTATCGTTTTCAAAAGTCATGAAAGCATGACAGTTAGAATCAATTATTCTTGCTAAGGAATTGTTGACACTGGTTTCAACTCTAAAGTCAGTTAGAAACTCTATTTTCGATTAGAAGGACTGATAGTCTGCAGTATTTTGCATACGAATGTCCGGTCACTTTGTAAAGTGAAGCTCATATATGTCTACGGAATAAAATTCTACTTGAAATAGTTTATAGTTTATCCACTAAACTAATAGCATATTTTTGACCGGAATTTTTGGTAATCCATGTCTGAGTTTTAACGTTTTGATTCATTTTTTTTTTCAATCTCTGCAGTTATTTGTTCACTTTTATATCGATTCATTCATCCATGTTGCCGTTTATCTCTGTATTCATTCATTCATTTATCCTTCCATCCATTTACCCTTCCATCCATTTGTCCTTCCATCCATATGTTCATTCATTAATCAGTCCCTCCGTCGATTTCTACATCTGTTACTGCCGTTATCCACCTCTGCCACCAATACAATTTAGGACATGTTACCAAAATGCAATAATCAAAAAGCGTGTTTCATACTATCAGATCGTTCACTTTATAGTGATTGTTATCAGCGATTTTCTTAAATTGTCGATTTATTGTTGTTTTGGAATCGTGCAAACGCCGTGGATGTCTCAATTCAGCCGTCTTWATCTTTAAGAACATTTTTCCATTCGCAAAACATAGACTTCCCATTTATTATTCCATTCATTCATTTATTCATCCCATCCATTCATCGAGTCTTTTCTCCATCTGTAATTTATAAATGCATTCATCTTTCCATCTATTTATTTATTCGTTTTCTATCAATCTCTAAATACTTTTTTTAAATTCATTCAGCCATTAATGCATATTAGTTTGTATTTTACTAGAAATATATGACAGAGTGAGGCTATGGCTTCCCGAAATTTCGTAATTTTTCTATGGTGTACTCGGTTTTTTTTCTTTAATTATTCGATAAATAGACTTAAACATTACTTCTTTCTTAAAACCCTTTTTTGATTATCCCTTTCTCAGACCATTAGAACATTCATCCATTTTAAAGCTTTGTTGTTGATTAAGTAAAGTATGTCGGAGCCATAATGCCGTATATGTATGAATTAGAAACTTAACAAGCCCAAAACGCCACGTTATCTTATTCAGTCATGTTGATATATTTATATTGAGGCATGTGATAAAATGGATCGTGCATATTGTCATGTTGCTTTTCCTTTTTTAACTTTTATGTAATTCAGTCTGTTTATAATTCTGTTGTCTTTGTAAATAGATGTATAGTTTTGTAGCTAATCACTATTTATAACAAGAGTATTTGGTTTATAATTTGAAGCGCACATCACACGGTTGGCTTTCTTTGTATTGACACCTGTATATGTTAATCGTAAGATCTCCTCATTGGTTTCATTTGTTCATCCATCCATTCATTCATTTTTTCATTTTTCATTCATTTTTTTTCATTTTTTCATTCATACATTCACTACCTAAACCATCCTATGTATTCGTGTGATAATCCTCACTTAAATCACCTACAAAGAAGGGAGTTATTCATATGTATTTGGTTCTTAATGATATCAGTCCATACGGCAGTAGCACGGATGTTCATACATTGATCTTTTGCCGTCCATCTCTGCAGGTGTCAGTCGTTATTGTAAAGAAACTGCTTGAGTCTTGCTTTCTGAAGAAACTTTCATTACATTCATGATATGGCTATATAAATTAACGCTTTATTTTGTCGCTTAGCTTTTTGAACTTGAAAGCCGTTTAATGGGTTTTCCATACCTGTTTTGATTGTTGGCTCTAAACTCGTTGAGCAGGTTTTTACAAACCTGTTATGACTTGCTAACAAATGAAATGAACAAGTAATATTATAGTAGAAATAGAACGTTTGACCGAGATCGTCGACATGTTCAAAATAATTCTCATTTATGATTAATGAATATAATTCCACGATGCCTAGAGATCTCGATTATAGAAGCATATTCATAATATAACTTATCATTAAAGTAATCTAAAGGACGGTCAAGCTAACGCGAATTCAATTAGTTAATTATACCAACCATTGTCAGCAAGTGAACATACAACATGAACTTTTAGTCCCTTTTAAAACGTCGTTGTCACATGTGATGACTTTATTGAGGTGATGACCAGAGACAAAAGATTACATTTGATTCAACACAAGTAAAAATCGGCGTTTGATTGTGTAATGGTTTGAAAGGGGACATTTAGAGGAATTTCTCAATATGTTTTTTTTTCTATAATGACCATAACGTTTTTGATGTTTTATTTTTACCTTACATTCAAGCTCAATTAAGGAAAAGAGCAATAGAGCGACGCCCAAAGGCTTCCTAGTTACTGCTAATTCCATGTCTCTTTTGTCTTTAAGTATCATAGTTTSATAAGTGCGTTTTTATCCTGTCCTTAATTGTAAGGGCCATCGAGATCGAGACTTTGAAAGAATCAAGTGTAGAAAAGTAATTATCTTGAGTACACCGGACCATTTTACGCGAAACATAATTGTTGTAACACACGTCTTAAGTTATAACGAATTGCCCTATTTCATTATGACGTCACAGTATGTTTACATACTCAAAAACAGTAGGAATATGAAATATGAGTGTATCGCGTATGCCAAGCTATGTCATATATCAAAGGCTGCTCATATACATTMTATTTGATATGCAGTCAGTTTGATCCACATAACCCTTAGTGTTCAAGCAATAGAATGTTTGGTTTTGAAGTCATAATGACATTGGACATGGTGGTGATGATGGTTTTCGAGCTTTGTTGATGTGCAAAACGCATTGATTTTATTAAATATATTTCAGTACCGACATTAATAGCATCATTGTCTCATTCATTTATTTATTCAAATATCCATTTGCTCATCCATTTGTCCAGTATTTTACATGTTGAGCAACTGTACAAGTCAAGCATTATTCCTTGCTTTCAAAAACGATTCATTTTTACAATTAAGAAGGCTGAACATTTTGATTAGTTTGTACCGAACGTTTTCGAACTTAACAGTTCATCATCAGGGATTAAATCCCCAGCCTTCTTAATTGTAAAATTTAAAAACCATAGGCGATTATCAATATGTTTAAAAACGATTCAATTTCAAAGTATTTTTATTGTGTATTTTTCAGATCATTGCGTTTATAATCCTGTTTTTAATCATCACATCCGTGGCGATCTTCTGTCTTGAGACTGTGCCTTACTTCAATGAGCCCGATAGCACACCAAAGAACGTTATCTTCTACATCGAGGCTTTCTGTGTTGCTACATTCACACTAGAGCTTACTACAAGACTAATAGTMTGCCCCAATAAACTTGCTTTCCTAAAGATGKCCATGAATTGGATCGATTTCTTTGCCATTTTACCTTTTTACCTCCAAGTCATGCTCAATAAATCAGATATTCAAACCATGGTCGTGTTTCGTGTCATAAGACTGGTYCGAGTTTTCAGGATATTTAAACTTTCCCGCCATTCCTACGGTCTTCAGATTCTTGGACACACGCTCAAGTCAAGCTGTAGTGAYCTCTTTCTACTCGCTTTCTTTCTCTCAATCGGAGTTGTTATATTTTCAAGTATAATCTACTACGCTGAAAAGGACGTAGCAAAATCACATTTCAAGACCATCCCCCACGGGTTTTGGTGGGCTGTAGTTACCATGACGACGTTGGGGTACGGAGACATGGTACCGTTGACTTGGCAAGGACAAATCGTGGGCTCACTTTGTGCGGTCAGCGGTGTATTGATGATTGCACTTCCGGTTCCGGTAATAGTGAGTAACTTTTCCTTATACTATTCGCATGCAAAGGCCCGGATGAACTTACCGAAGAGGAAAKGACCGCTTATATTCGGAGCTGCGTCGGCCCTTCGGGTTGCACAGCCGTTTGCTGTAAGTGAACACAAACCGAATGTTATCACACAGCTTATGGAGGAAGGAGGTCGTGACGACGATGATCCCGACAACCCGACTATGACCCGACGAACTCCTCGCAGCTCAGGACGGTTCAGTCCGTTACAGCGTAATCGATCACCTCGAACGATACAGCATGCMCCTGGCATCACCCCCAGGGCTTCCCCTCGTGGATCGATTGCAAGCCCACCWGAACAAAGCAAAAATGGAACCCTWGTCATTCCCGACATTCATAGCAGGCCTGCTGAACCAGAAGAGRATCAGCATAATCAGAAACCCTCGGTTGTACCTAAACCTATCCCTCAGGTGGTGCTGTCWTGCAGCGGTGAAGTGAACCCCCCGGAAACAACGCCTTTACCTAASCCACCAGTATCGCTTAAACTCAGCGAGACGGGYAGTGTCATGTCGTTGAATGAAAAGTCCGATAGATCGACAGTAAGCAAGAAGCGTGCCATTCAGAGTAAGTCTTTGTCAGCGGACTCAAGTCACGGTTCACCKAGAGGACGTCGCGGTCGTCGTGGCAGTATTTATATTGTTGGCTTCACGGCGAAACATTGGCAAAACAAGGCATTAAACAAAACAAAAACAGAGAGAAAGATTCTATCAGCTGACAARAGTAGGGACAGGGAMGACAGTAAGTCACGTGGCTTTTATCATTCGTTGAGCTGTGAGACGTGTGATAACAGAAAGGCGCGCTCTGCCGAGGTGCTTCTTCGTTCCGAACTTGAAGTACATGACACAAATATACAAGTCAAACCTGTGGAGCCAAGACGTGACAGCGTGACAATCCAACATAATCCACCTAGCGTTACACCTAAAAGTCTGTCAAGAATGTCATCTGGGACTCAAACTGCAGGGGTCTCGTCTACTCCCTCTCCGAGGACTACTAGGGCTAAATCAGATACATGCAATGTACCTAAACACTTGCAAGATCCAAGAAAAACAACAAAGTCTCTAGCAGATCATTCAGATGATTCTCTGTGCGTCCACGGTTATCTTAACCAGCGTCGGGGATCATCGCCATTACGACGTCAGCACGCCGTGTTTACATTTGACGTCACAGAGCCGTCACCGGAAGTAAACCCTCAGAGCAATAAGCTTGCTCCTGTGACCGTTGTTCACCAGGCCACCTCTCCTACTTTACCTTTAGAAACTACTTCAAGCACATTTGATACAAAGACAAGCGAATCACGTGATATCACAATATGCGAGTCACGTGACACAGAATCTTGCGAGTCACGTGATACTAAAAGGCGCAAGTCAAAAGATTCAGGCACGTCCCAGTCGCGTGATGAGGACAAAAGTAGGGAAACACCATCRCCTCCCTTAATTGACGGCAGAAGAAACTCAGGGCGGAATGGGAAAATTCGTCCAAAGTCTATGCCAGTTTCGAGTTACGTCAACGTATCATATCAAAAAGAAGACGACGACACACAGTCACAACGGCTGAGATCGTCATTACAGGAACAGAATTACGATGGGAATATGAAAGATGAGAATGATGAAGAGGAAGATGAGAAACAAAAAGACTCTCCCATTGTGCAGAAACGTAGTTTCCAGCCTTATCGAAAGGACGGTATTGTCAATATWATCCCATCATTGACTCACCCTGAASAAACGGATCAAATACAAGACGATATTGASGATGATCAYTATTCCAGGGGGAGGCGAACGCCACTTGGATCCGTGTCCAATGCAAGCCTGCCGTCTATTTCTGAAGAACAAGATAATAACAAAGACATTGACTCTTTAAAAATAGTAGCGCATGAGCAGTACAAGCTCCACAGACCGCAGTCCATGCCCTTGGAAGTCAACGAAYGCTCACATGAGCCAGCACCGAATATCAACCGATCGTCGAGTGTACCTCTTAGTCCAGCAGCCAAGCACGACAAACAAAAGACATTGCTTCAACGACGGCAGGGACCAGACTTGTCATTGGGAAGCCCTCAAACCATGCAGATGAATCAGTTAGACGTAATAAATTATCCCTGGTTTCAAAGAGTTTTAAATTCGTCAAACTTCTTAAGAGTGAACCCTATTGACGACCAGATCACTTCCGCTTTAAGTCCCAGTCCTCTACTGAGTAGTGAGCTGCCGCTGAGCGCTGATGATCGCTTGCTCTATTCTCCTCATACTCCTCCGTCATTGAATACACCCTCGACACGCGACATGGCTACCTCACCCTTTATTACAGTTTGGGATGAAACCGATGAGCCCTTGGARYTGCCCTCTTTGAAACAACATCAGTCAAACTCAAGAAATACAAATTCAGAGTTTGGAAGTCTTGACAGTGACGTCAGGAGAAGGTCTCCSGATGTYGAACTACAACCGATATCTCGTGTCGAAGACCAGGCTGGTAGAGAGTATGCTCTGTATGCTATTCCGACAGGCTTAGATGGATCGGTGTTCTTTTCCCGAACTAACTCCGAGGACGGTGAGAACTCTGAAATTCAAATGAGAACTAAACGAAATATATATCAAGGTTCTTCGGAAACGTTCGGACTTCCCTCGGAAGTGATTCGAGATATTTCCGCCAATGCGCGYTCAGCTTCTGAGAGGAATCAATATCAAGATGGTTGTACGGGAACTGTCGGACTTTCCTCGGACGTAATTCGGGATATTTCCGTCAATTCTCGTTCCAATTCGGAAAGGATTCGAGATCATTCCGATGAAACGAAATCAAGACGAACGGAACACGATCATTCAACGAAAGATGCGTTAGGCAACCCACGTGACAATAATGGCGGTAAGGTGAGAAATCGCTCGAACTCTCCGCGKTTGCAGCGCTCTGATAATAGTGTTATCTACAACGGACATGAACCCTTGCAACAAAAACTCTCAGGAAACCTTTTCATCACCAAAAGACCGGCAAGTCTACCCTCGCCTGATCGTCGGAAGGCGAGATTATTTTTCGGTGACTCTGGTATAAGTAGTGTCGGTAGCGGGAGCACGACATCGATGTCACACTCTCTCGATCTCGATATCGAATCGAAAGAACGCAAAGAAACTGCTGCTAACATTTTAAATCCCATTAAAGAAACAGATGTGGAGAACCCGAATGGTGGTCGATCAACAAGTCGTAGCGACCCCGGTAAACCGACCGCCGTGAACATCATGTTACCATCAGTTCGACTACGTGAGAATTCAACTGTTATAGACATTCTAACGAATTCAGATATGTACGAGGCTAGTTTAGTATGATAGCTGGGTAGTCAGTTAACAGGTCGTAATAGCCCCCGTAAACCGACCTCAGTGGTATTCATAAAGCCGTGAAATAAACTTCTACTCTCTACACTTCGTTTCACGGGTTTGTAAATACCAATGTAAAAGGATTCATCATACAGTCACTGGAAGAAATTCTGAACTTTTAGTTAGAAAACTGGAAAAGTAATTGAGGATTGGCTGCCTTTGGATTTCGTGGTGTATGATTTATCCTTTTATCTGCTTCAACTAGACAACAATAGTTCGTTATCTCTACTAGTATCTATCAATCAACGGTCCTTCTTTGTTGTGATGTAATGCTATGCTCGGCAAAATGCACTATGCGATTGAGAAAAACACAAACTAAAGCCATGTTAGTTTTTTTTATGAAAACATAGTTTTTTTATGAAAAACATACTGGGACTAGTCTAGAGTTCATCTAGTACACAGGTTTCTTATTTAATGTTTATGGACAAGAGATAACGTTAATTACAAGCAAATAAGCAAAGCCTTCGCAGCTTTTATCAATGAGACATCCACCATGTTGATGTATTTATCAAAACCAAGCTGCACTTCAGCAAAATAAACATGACGTCATCAATACCATGATGCACTTCGCCAAAAAAACATGACGTCATCAATACCATGATGCACTTCGCCAAACAAACATGACGTCATCAATACCATGATGCACTTCGCCAAAGCAAGCATGACGTCATTGGTAAGAAGAGACGTGCTCGTATTAGAAGATGCTAAAATACATCTTCAAATTTATCTTTTTAAAAGTTATCTAGATGCATGTAGTAATAATTGTAGGTGATTGGAGGACATGAAGCTGACAGTGTAAATACGAAGACCTCCGTTAGAACTTATATTGTTATCTAATAAGCTTGTAAAATTCTACAATAACTAGACGAGATAATCAACAGTATGTAAATATGACATTATAGATTCATTATTATATTTTAAACCGAAAACACCCTTTTACATTATCTTAGGTTAACCAGAATAGCAGACATCCACGAGTTCATTGCTCGCGGCTTGGGACTGTAATTTCTGGTTAACGAGTGACAGCTGTCAATCAAAAATATTGAATTTAATTCCACAGATATTATAATGATATGGAGTATTTTGTCATTGAAAAGAAGCTATTTTAATTTTCTATATTTTTCTTATTGTTAACGCTGGCGTTTACGACGTGCAGCCAGCATGTCAAATCCGTGAAACAAACCTTTAAGAGCATTATAACTTACCTTAGGGTCGTGAAAACCGTGAAACAGGTTCTACAAGGTGTCTTAGTCTAGTGAGGATTTTAGATCCGCGAAAGAATGTATTACTCAAAAGAAAACAATGGAATTATAGAATTAGAGATTGCTAAGGTGTGAAAAAAAAAACCCGTGAAACAAACCCTTATAGTCAAAAACAATGTACAATATCTGTCTTCACCAGGATCACTGGTTAAATGCCAACATTAGTATATTAGCATTAGTATAATCAAATATTTATTAATATTATAAGTAAAATACTAATAAATTGATAAATACGTCTCACGAAGTTGTACATTTATATCAGGCAGCCCAACCTAGATGGATTACTGAATCTTTTTTTCTTATGTTACTATTATTGTTTTGTGTGTGTGTTTTTTTTTTTTTTGGTTATAATTTATGTGCGTGCGGTTTTCTTTTTATGTCGTTCGTTCAAACAAATCCAATTCAGGTGCAAAATTTAATATTTCCTTTTATCATATAATTATCTATGAAATACCTATATTTATCATATAATTATCTATGAAATACCTATATTTCTCCATTTCGTAAAAATGATATTTTCACTAGTGAAACACATTGGAGTTTTCTCTATATAGTGGAAGTAAGACAAAAAGCTATTTTACGGCATAATTTGCTTTCGCTACGCTCACTCGTGAGAGATCTTTTCAACACTCGAAGATAAAATCCGTATCTCCGCGCACCCATGTAATATCCTCTATTTAATCTATACAAATATTACTTTTTCTCAAGTTATCTGAGGAAAGCGATTGATCGCCGAAACATGTCGAAACTGAAGGTTGTTGTTCTCTTTTTAAAAATCTTTTCTCAAGAATTCAATGCTCAAAGTGTTTTTGGGATGTGTATGTTTTTTGCTAGAGAAGCTGTAACAACAAGCGGTTTTTTTATGTATTATACCTTTCATGACTTCCTTTGTTCTCTTTTAGCTATGTTTCATACTTACTTGAGAGAAAAATAACCTTATTTCAAGGTATGACTAACTCCGGAAAACGTCGCGCATGTTTACGTCTATGTGAACAATCCAGTACTGAAAAAGTGCGTAACTATTATTATTATTATCAATTTTAAGGACATGCCTTGCTTGATATCATGCACAAGTGTTTGCTGAAAAAACTAGATTCAAAGCAGTGTTTTATATCTCTATAGTATGATATTATGAATGAATGGTGGATGAACGGATTATAAACGAACTATATAGTAAACATAAGGTTTTTGTATTAAAATATGTACTGATTTATAGTATTTGTTTTGGGTTAAATAAGTACGCAAAACCGAAGGAAATCAGCTAAGAGGAGTGTAGGTGTTTTTGCGGGTCGTAAATACAACTTTCTGTAAATCCATAAAAACAGGAAGACATTCCTCGGTGAAGTGTTGTTTTGGAGGCGAGTCACAGTACCAAAACGAGTGAAACGCCGTTTGTCGCACCCTACAACACTTCCACTAATACTTCTTCTTTTTTCGGTCTTGCCAATTTGATGCGCTGTAATGAAGCCAATCGAGTGCTTCAAAAGGCCAATCAAGTGCTTCAAAAAGCCAATCAAGTGCTACAAAAAGCAGGTCACGAGTTTTCCGTTAATGTCAATAGTACTCCTCAGAAAAACCCAATCAAATGCCCCAATGATGCCAATCGAGTGCCGGCGGTTATCATAGGAGGCCTATTAAATGTACACCCTGTTGCGCTAGACATGTCTTATCAGACTTAACGGTAGATTACTAGCTGCATATCTCGATCACATACTGTTTTGGAAATGAACAACCCCGCAATTGATATGAAGGACAATTGGATGCTTTTCAATGATCAAATGTTCGATCGGTGCCTTTAAAGTGCGCTCGATTGTTTCTTCATTAAGTGAATATGTTCCAAAGCACGCTAGGTGCTGGTAGAAAGAGATTTGGTAAATAAGTGGACTAATAATGATACAAGCTAGTAAGTTTTATTTAATGACATCTCAAAAAATGCAAAGGAGCAGACAAATTTACTTGAAAATATTTTGTTCAAATATCATAGTTTTAAGGATATTGAAACTTTTGCTTTGAAGATACAAAAGATAGTGTAAATATATTGAAAAAGGTCAAAATATTTTTGATTTTTGATCTCTCCGACACACAGAAAACACAAGATTCGGTTAATTTCGTCTTTGACTAAGACCTTCTCAATTCCTTTACAACTGTTTTATATGATAAACGCGCTCAAATTGGAAATCACAAACAAACAAAATGAAGTTTAGAAACTCCTTTAAGGGGATTCCAAGTACAACAAATATTAAGAAGGTGTAAATATGGCTGTGCATAAACCGAAACTTAATAGAGTGAATGTTGATCCTCCCCTTACCGCCCCCTTAAAACTCTATAATCGAAAATGTTGTTTGTAAAGTAACCTTTTTTGAAACTTTTCATTGATTAAACGATTGTTGAGTGTCTGCTCTGATCTGCTATTGACAATCCTCATCATACTTAAAGGAAAAAACACAGCCGCAGGGCATTTTTTAATGACACAGAAAGCAAAAATTCGAAAATATAGTTTTATTTAATTCATTCACAATAAATTGGCATCTCAATCCAAAATATATTAACTATGATAATACATTAAATATAATCCACGAATTAACATTTAAATTTACTCGCGTTCTCACTATCCACTAGTTATAGTCTCATAAAAAGCTGTTGTGAATAAATATGTTTATTTTTAAGATTTAATGTCTAAATTTAGTATATAACACATGTACAATAATTCTAACTCAATGATTAACCCTTAATAAATTATAGATCAATATATAATTAGTTAAATTTTAATTCACTCAAGACCGTCAATTTACGCATGCGCAGTACAGTGGAATTTTCTTATCTATTGAATCCCAGAAGTCTTCAAACCTTGGCACACCTGAGCAGGTTTGCACCTTTTGACAAGTGACTGGTTTTCGCTTTAAGAACTTCAAGTGAAAATACTTTTTTACACATCGATAATGACCAAACCAACAAGTATTTTTAGAACAACTGGCTGACCTGTGATATCTAGGAAAGTAATTAGAGCCTAAGTCAATCCACTTATATGTGGCCTTGCATGTCCATGCATCCGGGGTATATATGGCCTTTGAGACACTTCTATGATTTAATGACCTTGACGTCAAATTCATAGAATCATGAGCCAGCGATTTTGACATGTCAGTGGCTTGCAATGTATTATCATCGAGTGAGTCGGTCACGTGACTGGGATTGTACATGTGACCAAGCCTCTGCCATAGGATCTCTCGTTTAACTCCACAACATGGACTACTTTGGCTGCTGGCTTTCGAGATGAACAATTTTCCTGGTTTGCATGCCACCATTTCAGTTAGAAGTATTATCACCATGACGACGGTTACCTTGGAGACAAAAGTTTTTATATGTAATGAATGATGTCTTTGATTCTAGAGAGTAGTAATTATATTCGTAAACTTGTGACCCTCAACATACTCAAAAACACCTCCCAGCTTTTTAAAAAATCAAAGTAAAAATGGGATAAGCAGTTGTTCACAGATATATTTTGGTCGAAATCTTTAAATTTCCTGATTATATTTTGGAAGAGTGTTTGTAATTTGAGCTCTCATGCGATTTTTGGCCATAGTGTACACAAGTTTGACTATTTGTCATTTCCAGTTTATAAGCGACGTCATTCTTTGGTGTCCGATGACTCATTGGACTGTTTCCATACAAGAACTTGTTATTCTTAGCAGTAATCCATGTTTTATGATGACACAAAACAGATTTCATAGCAGGTTTTARATCAACCCGTTGTCAACACACATGCAGAGAAAAGTCTTCATTATTTAACTTACACCACATGATCAACAGAAAATAGTTTTTAAGTAGACAGGCACGCGACAGAACTCGATGGGAAAACTACTGCATGGGTCTTCGTACTGTGACTACGCCTTACACAAGCTCCCATGGCGAATATATCAACTCGAGAAACATTTGAAAACTGTAAAGAGTTTGAAAATCTAATAAATTATGAGCATGTTGTGAAGTTGTAAAGAAATTAAAAGCTGAACTGCCAGTGTTTTCTGTATCTGTTAATAATAAACCAGAGGCTCGATCTTATAGTTACTATATTGTATATTATATACACCAATTAGCGGCCTTTATTACCTCATAGTTAAGGTGTGCATAATTTGAAACCTCGGCAGTTTAGTCCTTTTTAAACCGTCAAATTTCACATGCTCAAAATCAAATGCATCGAGAAGAAAGGACAAGCATGTGATGCCACAATTCATGACTTACATTAGAAATGGCCCTACGCTCTCCAGGAGCCCCTATTTTGATCAATTCTTTAGTATTTTCGTACAGTAATTATCAAGATTCTGATAATATTATTGTTTTTATTTGTAAACGACCAAGTTTGAATATTCCTTTTCCTGAAGGTTTATTTTAGAGTTATTTAACATATAAATAACTATCTCTGTTGTAATTGCATCCTAATCTGCGTGGGTACACCCTCTAAACCATGACGTCTTTGCATACAAATACCATTGTTTACTTTGAACTTTCAGGTTGCTTTTAAGAACACACAATTGATGACTAAAAAATGTCTCCTAATATCAATGAAACGTGCTTTGTCAGCGCCATTTTGTCATAATTTACCGAAGCAATTAAGGCCGGAAAACATCAAGAAATAAATTGAAAAAATAGCCGTGTTATCAAAGCTTGGGGTCGTTTTTGGGATTAAACATGCAGACCATATACAGGTGCATAATATACACAAACATTTGCTAAATAGCACTTCATAAACTAAAAACTTCGAATTCAATTTTTCGATTATTTTAACCATCTGCTAACATAACTTGTGTCCAAACGAGGCGATCAAACGACTGTTAAGTAGCTTAAAACCACCTTGTAACAAAGTGAGTTATTTGTTAAATATCAAGCTTTTATCAAATTATTTACCGTGTCTAATCGCACATTGAAATAACCGTTTATCGCAGTTGATACGTTCTTGTACAGTATTTGTACAGTTCTCCACCTTCAGGGGTCTTGAGAATAAGATAAGATAAAACATAGATCTTGAGGCGGTGTTCATCTTGAATTCTTTGAAACTGAACACGCGAGAGAGCCATTCATTACGATAAAACAATATTCTTTTTTTTTTTGTCATGATGCAACGATAAAAATTTATTGTGTTTAAACTTTTTACTTAAGCTTTTGGCGCAGTAGAATTAGGATTGAGATAGAGGCTATTCAAGATCAAATGAAAAGAAAACATGCTATAAACTGGGTCAACATAGACAAATTTTTTTTTTTAAGAGAAGTCCTTCTTTTCAATCGAATACAAGCAAATTACAGTTTGGTTACCTTGTACATTGTTTTCGCTTTGATGCGAACAAAGTCGCCTCCATCCCTATGGAGCATTGCGTCTTAAACCCCAAACAACAATCTCTGCTCTAAAAGTAAATCGTTAAATAAGATTGATGATCGCAACAAGCTTTGAGATGCTAACTTCTTGAGGTGGCATCTTTTTATTACTATTTGACATTGAATTGACGTCATCAGCGAAAAATCTGATTGGCTGCATGAAAACGAGGGTGAACGTTCAAAACTAAGCGATAATTACGAAATTCTGTAACGGTCCATAAAGAGTTATGTCTAATTACAGTACAAATCGAATGTCAGATTTTTCCGATCCAGCGGAAAATCGGTACATTGTTACGAAACCCTTTGACAATAGACTATTGTAATCGTCGCTTCCTTCAAACGCTCAGTTCTACTTCGCTAAATTGAAGAACTATAATTGAAAATCTTTCAAATAAATGTCATTATTCCCTTGAATATACGTTAGGAAATCCTAATCTATCGTAACACAAACAAAAAACTATTAAAGATTGCCTCAACATCTAAACCTCTTTAAGGCTTAAAAACGTAAGATGAAAATACAAATACTAAATAGTAGCTAGAACTACACATGAATCGATTTAATGGACCAACTTGTCTTTAAAAAAATGAGTTAAAAGAAAAGATATACACATAAAATGAAATCAGTATTTTTTACGATTCTAAATGTATTCTATAGAGTAGGATTATTACGGTCAAATACTGACTATTTTACATGTACTCATTATTTGCCGTGTTCTTGACGTAGTAGGGAAAAATGCTTCATTGGGAATTTAGTATTATACATGAATAAAAACTCATGAAGATTTGTGTTGCTTTTTCATATGTATATCCGCTGATTGTTTGTCTATATTTTTTGAATTGTGTTTTGTTTCAAAGCACGGCGTACTGCGTAGAAGTATTAGACACCTACATCCCGCATGCAGAGAAGAGCTAAATATTATTCTGATAGACACGCGCCGCCCTTGAATGATTTACTTACGACGAGTACTTCACGACTTCCTGGACAGCCATCTTGAAACGTAACCGCGCCTTTACAAATTATAGCGAGGTTACCTGGCTATCAGTGATATATACTTTTGATTACGAACTACGAGACGAGGGCATAGTGCGCACAAGGCTGAAGGGGCTTTAATAACAAGAGCCACATCGTGGAACATACCGTGTCCAGAATTTTTCCGTGAAATATATATATATTTTTTTACCACCGCCGCGATCGATTTGATCGATTTTGCGTATTATCTTTTCACATCAATTTTTATCATTGCAGCAAAAATTTAGGTATTCAGATTGCATTCGCATTATCCTAAGAAAATTTATAAAATGAAAGTTTGCTTTGCATTTGAGAAAGAAAAAAAGACGTTTACGAGTATATTTTAAAGTTAAAGAAAGAAAAAATGTTTAGAAGCTGATCGAGTCGAGAATCGAACCCGAGATCGTCAGTTCAACACCGCTATTCAAGTATGATCTTGCGTGTAGAATATGTAAAACAAATATCTACAGCAAAAATGAGAATACGTATATTTCAGTAAAAAAAAGAAAAAAGGAAAGAAAAAAGAATCGCTTAGAAGCGATCGAGTCGAGAATCGAACCCGCGACCTTAACTTCGACGCTATTCGAGTATGATAGTCTGTGTAAAAATCAAAATGATGGCTCGAACATAATTATACTTAAGCAAAATTCTACAGAGAATCAAGATGATTATAACAACTATAATATATTTAAAAAGAAAGAAGAAACGAAGAAAAAAAGTGCTTGAGACGAGACTCGAACCCGCGATCCTCTGTTCGGCGGTAATAAACGACATCCTCAATAAATAATTTTTTGGAAACGACGGAGTGACAGTCTGTTGCAAACCTCCTTTCTTTGCCCTCTGGTCGCAACTAATATACGATTGTACTAACAGCCGTGACGATACTTGCACTTCAATGATATCTAGATCTGATGGGCTGTGGCCACATTACATATTGAGTAACTTACAAAAAGATATAAGCTAGAAAAGAAGAATATAGAGCGATTTTCATTAACCCGTGAAACACACTTTAGCGTATTTATCGATATTACACTTTGGCTCTTTTGTTTTTTATTGTCTCTACGCGACTATTACGATCTATTACACTCTAATTATTACACTTTGTTTCACGGGTTTATGAAAACCACTCTACTTTGCAATGGAGTCTTTACATGTAACCAGTTGCCATTAACCCATGGACTTCACTAACTCCATTTTATAAAATATATAAATAGTTCAGTAATCGTATGAGGAAGTGGCTGATCCCATTAAAGAGTGCTCAATACACATAAAGTGTAGAGCTAGTTATATATATGATATCAAAGAGGCAAGATTTTGCTGTAACTCCGAGTTTCGTGCTATGCACTCAGTATTTCTGAT